CAGAATCCGGAGTTTTCAGCTTTGTCCTTAACTTCTTGTGACTTCATGGAGGAGTTCCAAGCCAGGAGTCCATGTATCTGATCCCACTGCATCTTCAGGGACTGCTCCCGGCTACGGAGTGGCTCGGACACAGGCAGGTGACAGAGGAACAGGTCAGCTAGCTCCAGAGAGGGGAGCATGGCCCTGAGTGCAAAGACGATGGGAATATGGAGTAAATGAGACCCAGGGAAGGGTTTCCTGCAGAACCAGGATCTGCTGAGCACTGATAAGGTGAGAGTCGATGGTGACTCCATTTCAGGCAATCAGAACCGAGTGGATGGAATTACCACCTGCAAAGACAGGCAGACAGGAAGGCGAGTCCGTCCAAAGGGGAAACCAAGAGTTTGGTTTTGGATGTTCTGGTTGGAGATCACACGAGCCATCTCGAATATCGGTTCTGAGACTCAGGGCTGTCTGGAGCAGGGACGCAAACGGAAGAGCTGCTTTTCACCTCACGCCAGCAGAGCTGGGGTGTTCCCAGGGGGCAGACGCCAGGGTTCCTGCGGCGAGCCCACGCGTCTCCACTTTCGCCAGAAGCCGCAGCAGAGAGTGCCAGCCACCCTGCGAGGACCGGGTGAACCCCAGGGAAAGGACAAGGCATCTGTTAAGGACCGTACAGAACTGTGATCATTAAAAATTTCGTCTTAGGCCTCACAAGTCCAGCAGTCTTTGTAAGCACCTCTCAAAAATAGTCTGGACCTCAGCTGCAAGTATTTGCATAAGAATCCTTTGACCCATAGGCTTTGTTCAGCTGCCTTCAGAAACTCAAGTCCCTGATGGTCGGACTGACCGGTTTAGTAAAAGAGTGAAGAGTAAGGGAGAACCGCAGACGAGCAGACAGAGCCGGCGACCTGCTTTTGCAGACCCCAGTGTCCCACGAGCCAGTGAGAGCCGGGAGAGGGGCCAGGCAGCTGTTCCGTCTGAGATGGATTCTATTTACAGGTCGAATCCAAAACTATTCAGTGTTGAATTTGATGGCAGGCTACAAGGAAATCCAACACAAACTCACAGCCTCTTCCCACTCTGGAAATAAGAGCCCTCCTTGGGCCACGGCACCGACCACGTGGCCCCGTCTGCAGAGTCAGCGACACCATGTTCCTGAACAAACGGCTCTGTTAGGTTAGAAAACAACTTGGAGCCCACCAATTTCTTTAAACAAAACCTAAAATCACCCAGTGAAAAGCAATGTTATCTTATCTTGATGGGTAAGGTGGAAAAAAACACAAAACCCTCCAATTTCTGAATTTGAAACTTCAGTGGGACTCAGACAGAGACCGGAGGGGACAGTCACAAGGGTGACTGTAGGGACAAAGAGCAGCAATAACACAGGACAGGAGCACAGGCCCCTGGCTCAGGAGACATGTTCCTAATGAAAAATAACTCCTGAAGGTCCACCAGGGCGCCCAGAAACCACGCGGAGGGTAGAAAAGGCCAGAACTTAACCACCACGACTCAGCGTCTTCTCCTATAAAAAGCGATTAACAGGATGATTGTGAGGGCTCCTTTTAACTCAACTTCCTAAGACTGAATTTAATTTGTCTCCTGGTGTTTCAGGCAACATACAATGCATCCAATGATAGGTGAAAAAATAAAAACAAGGATTTTCTAGGGTGCTTATTTCTGTCGTCCATCAGAGGAGTGTTTAACAGAGCTCCAGCTATTCCCTGGGCCTCTCTGTAGAAAATGAAGCCGTCGATCCGCAGACTGAAGAGTCCTTGCAGGTTATGGCAGGCGACCGCCGCAGGACGCACACCAACGGCCCACCTCGTGGCGGTGGTTGGGGGGGGAGGCGGGCGGGCAGCCACACGCAGCCTCCACACGGCCCATGTCTAGAGGCCACTGAGAGTTCACATCCCGTGTGTTTCCTACGCTCATGCCACCATGGTCAGGACACGCTGCTCGGACGCAGAAGCCCAGGAGATTCTTTTTTTTTTTTTTTTAATGTCTTTTATGAGTTACATTTATTTATTTATTTATTCATTTATTTATTATTATTTTTTAAGATTTTATCCATCTATTTGACAGAGAGATACAGCGAGAGAGGGAACACAAGCAGGGGGAGTGGGAGAGGGAGAAGCAGGCTTCCCGCCGAGCAGGGAGCCCGATGCGGGGCTCGATCCCAGGCCCCCGGGATCATGACCTGAGCTGAAGGCAGACGCCCAACGACTGAGCCACCCAGGCGCCCCAAAGCCCAGCAGATTCTTAACTTTCATTGATGGAGACTCTCAAACGAGCACAAAACAGGGGGCAATAGGCTAACGGGCTGTCCCCCAGCCTCGCTGACACATGGTCCTTCTGGTTTCACACACCTGCTCAACCCTGCCAGTTCTCTGGCGTATTTTAAATAAAATATCGGACAGCATCATCACTGGATTCAACCCATGAGGACTCTTTTTTCCGCACACCCACCACAGGTTGCTAATCTCACTGTCTAAAGTTAACATGACCCCACACGTATTCCAGTTTCTCCGGCTGTCCCCAGGACATGTGGCTTACAGCTGGCTTGTACAGGTGCTGTGATCGCGAGCCTGGTGCATCTCTCCTTCTGGTCCTGTCTCCCTTCTTCGTGTTCCTGATTTCTCAGAGAAGTCAGGTCAGTCGTCCTGTGAAGTGTCTCACATTCTGACTGGGCTGATTGTTTTCCTCCTGTTCAGAATGGCAGACCCTGAGACTCTGTTAGATACAGGCTCAGCTTGGAGGCCCAGGCTCTCCGTCGTGGGGCTGTGTACCCCTCCGCATCTCATCACCACTTCCTAATGTCTGAGCATCTTGCTTTCAGGGAAACTTTGAGGGCCCTGGGTTCTGAGGGATTCTGGAACCTTCCGTGGTGAAGATCCTGCTGACCCCTAACAGTCTAGCACCCACTGAAGACTGTCCTCCAGAGCCATCAGGACTTTCAAGTGCCGACTTCTAACTTTATCACTTACTCTGAATGTATTAGGTAGACTCTTCTACAAAGAAAAACTTTCCCTAGTCAACTATTCGTTTACCCTGAAATGCATTTCATCCTGGAAAGGTATCATGTTTCCCTCTTTGTAACTTTTTAGAATAATAGACTGATGATGTTCCAGCACGCTGCACCCACGGTCACTGAGGAGCCCCACTTCCCCGCACGTGGAAGCCAGGCTGGGAGCTGGGGTTCCTGCTGTTACTTCCAGGCCTTCTGGGTACAGAAAGCTAAGAAACACGCAGGTTCTGAAGAGAACACAAACCCTGAGCTGGTAGTAAATATGGCCATCGCATAAATTTAAAACACACAGGTCATGCTTGGCTGCGTCGGTTCTAGGCTTGTGTTTCCTTCCTTATGCTCTAAACTTCAGGTCCCGCTCATGCATGTGCTGACTGATTTGGGAGCTGGGAAACCAAGGTAAAATGTAGGCGAAGTGACTTTCCTCACACACATCCACAGTTAGGAGCTTGTGGCTTCACACGAGGGAAGTGCCCCCAGAGCCTCGTTAATTTCTTGCCCTGGGGAAATCAAGCAACAGAACCCAGCTGCACTATCCAGGAGGCTCTCTGAATTACTCTCAGGGTGGGAATATCTGGGGACTCTGAACCATCACACAGGAAAAGCTTCTCCAAAGACAGTGTGTTGGGGATGTCACTCACATCATCAACGGCGTGGACCACTCCTGCAGGTACCGAGCTGGGGGTAGGAGGACAGTGAAAATACGCATCACCGTGGAGTTTCCATCTGCTTCCTCACCATCCAAACTCTTCCACACTCTTTCCTCCTCCCTCCCTCCCTTCCTTCCTTCCTTCCTTCCTTCCTCCCTTTGCAAGAGAGAGCGAGCCAGCATGCAGGGTGAGGGGAAGGGGCAGAGGGGGAGTGGGAAAGGGAGAAGGAGACTCCCCGCGGAGCAGGGAGCCCAATGTGGGGCTCGATCCCAGGACCCTGAGATCGTGACCTGAGCCGAAATCAGGAGTTGGCCGCTTAACTGACTGAAGCCCCCAGGCGCCCCAAAACTCTTCGACACTCTTATTTCTGCAGAGCCCTCCTTTTGTTTCCCTTTCTGGTCCTCCCCACTGGTCCCCTCCTTGCCTCTGGCTCGGTCTCTGTGCCTCACACCTCTTGTAGCAACGTCTTTGATTTTCTCCCCGTTCCTCAGTTTCCCCTCTCCTCCTTCCTTTTCACGTTCTCTGGAAATGTTTTCTCTCATGCCCCTGCTTTATTCCATACTCCTTGTGCACCGTAGCAGTGATATAGCATCTCTACCCCGAGTCTCGGGGGTGACTGATGGACAAGAAACCTTATGGCACAGTCTCCGCGGGAACCTGGAGCCAACTTGCAGGGCAGAGGTGCATGCCTGCCGGCCGCAGAGCAACCAAGGAGACTGACCTAAGGGAAGCAGGGGCTAGTGTGTGGCATTGTGTGGGTCAGAGGGACCGGAATGTGGAATCCATTCCACAGGCAATGGGGCGGACCTTTCCACGCGGCTTTGTTTCATCTGGGGACGAAGGGAAAGTCCTATTGAGTATGGTTTTCAAGTAAACAGCCAACTAAAACCATTTCCGATAATTCTGTGTTATTCAGTAATACCATCAAAACTCTAAGTCACAAATACCAGCCGTGTCAACACTAGTGACCTTCTCACACTCCTGAGGGGTCTCCGGAGTAAACAAAGAAGGACGCCCCTCCCCTATGATGGACTAACATACAGAGAAAGGACCAGCCAGAGCTTGGCCCTGCCAGTCGCTGAAAGAAGCCTGACCCCATCGGGCAGCAGAACCCCTACGACACACACGGAGCTTGCTCAGAAATTCTGGCCACGTTAAAGCCACATTCCAGCGGCCTGCTAACTACTCAGCTCCTTCCAGAAAACAACCCTCACCCAGAGCATGAGAAATCCTGCTTTGGGGCCAGGGGTAGGAACACAGGAGGCACAGGAAATGGCCGCCCTTTCTTTTTCCTTAAAACAGACACACGCATGCACGCACACCCCAGTGCAAAAGCAAATTACCTGTCCTGTGAGGCTGGATCATCAAACTCCTTGTCGAACAGCAACAGAGGACGGATCCGACAGTGAACTCTGATGTTCCCTTTCAGCTCCTACAACCAGAGAGTTTGCACCCATGAGCGGAGGCACTGTTTCCTCAGAGAATGTGCCCTGTACCGTTTCCCAGGACGTGAGCCTTGGATTGCCCACCCACACCCCGACCTCCGAACGAGTCCCCACGAAGGAACACTGCCGGTCGGTGCTCCTTTACAGCTTTTCAAAATCCCCACGTAAATGTGTTCACTTGGCAAATGATCATCGTGTGGTGAGAAGTATCAAGAAAACACCTCTCAAAGGCCACCTGCATATCCAATTTGTGAGGCATTTGAGGGGAAGTTTTTGAAACCTGGTACTTCTTTTCCAGACCCTGCAAAGCGTTGGTCTGAATCGGGGCAGGCTGTGATATCGCGGAGACCAAAACAAAGGGGGGGAAGGACACACTGGACGGTCCGGTACCAGCTCCTCATGTGCCCGCCGGAGGAAGGGCGCTGCCGTCGGAGACGGGCCCGCTTGGCAGGAGCACGTCATCGGGCACGTCCGCGCTCAGACGCCGCGAGCCACGCGGGGTCCGCCAGCTCCCGGGGGACACTGGCTCCGCGCCCACCGCTCTCCCTGGCACCGTGCCGGCCTCGTTTGCCCTCCGGTCCTTGCACAACCTTGGGACCATAACGAAGACCTCTGTGCCTCCTCCACAGGACAGCATGTCAGAAACACAAACTCTGGCGCCGTGTCCTCCGGAAACCACCCTTCCCCACTCACTCCCACCAGCCCCCGGGCGCGTGGCTGCCTCCGCATTCCCCAAATGGCTAAAGCAGCAGAGTCTGTCCTTATCGCTCCTGAAGTGCCGCAACCAGAATGAGAACCCATCTCCAGCGGCTTCTGATGTTCTGATATTCTTCTGTCCCTGCAGCCGAGCAACCACTAGCTTACTTGGCAGTCCCGGACACAAACGACCTATTCCGTGCTTGGGCTCATCTAAAACCAGGAATTCTGCATCCACCTGAAGGGAGCCAGCCGCTCCTCCCCAGCCCCCCACATGAGAGACGACGCATCCGTGGGGAAGCACGGGAATTGGCATGGCTGCGGCTCTGCCAGAATCCAGCATTCCGTGGGAGAATACGTGGCCTTGGGAACCAAGCCACACCGTATCACAAGAGAGGAAAGACCACGCGGAAGGAGGGGGAGGGCCAGGCCAGAGAAACTGGGAGACCGCAGGTGAAGGGCAGTGTCAGGTGACCTAAGAGGTGGCTGCATCCGTGAGTGAAGAAGTGTCACCCACAGAAAGGGACGGTCACCTCCACTCCACGCGCACCAGGGCATCCATCGGCACAGCCCGGTGTGGTCCGAGGAGCCTGGGGTGAGGGACCAGGTCCCCAGACTGAGCCTGCTGCAGTCCGAGGTCCTGTGGCAGGGAGAGGGACTCCTGCTAACAACCATGACGACGATGATGGTGCTGTGAGTTCCAACACGTTTTTCGATTTAAAAACTGATCTTAGCTCACAAGCCGATGCTGTTGCATGTGGTCACCTGTCCTTGTGCACCTCTCCCAGGCACCTGCTCTTGTCCCATTTCCTCAGCAGCCGGCACCTGCATACTTGGCATTCCATAGCCTATTTGCTCTGCTTGAGCCTAGTGCTCTAGCCTGTGGAAATATTTTGGGATACTCTTTGCCATTCAATGTGTTTGCTATAAATCCCTTTCAAATTCATATCCTCAAATACAATAATATGCTTTTCTGTCTCCATCACGTCAGTAAGAATTAGGATCCAGAGAGTCTGGACAGAGCCCAGAGGACGTCCCTACACAGCTCCTCTCCTGGCTGTCATCTGGGCCCAGGTCCCTGGCTGGGCGGGCCTGCCCCTCCCTCACTGCGCCGCCTCCAACAGACGCCAAACACCCGGGGTGGGGGCAGCTGGCCTGTGAAGGATGGCTCACAGCTCTTACGCTGGTGTTCTGTTCATTAATATTTCATGTCATACTTTTGCAAATGCCTGGCTGAGGACCAGATACTCTACATCTCTCCTCTTTTCTTGATGTGATACCTGGAAAGGACAAGAACACTATCATTCTCAAACACTCCTGCTGGTTCCATGAGCAACTCGTTTTCCCTCTAAGTGTTCAGAAACCGTTCTCTGGTGATCCGTTCTGAATTGTACCCTGGACTCACAGCTGGTTGATTCAACAAGTCGTGAAGCACAGCTGCTTTTACTTCCTGAACATGAAGGAGGTGACGCACACCCACTGATTTAGGAGCTGTCAGAGTGTCTTCCAGGGCACAGAACGCAGCAGCCAGAGCACCAAGCCTAGTCCCACCCTGGACCTGGTTCCGGCCCGAGGGCCCACCTGGCCCCTTCGAACCCAGGGCGATGCTGCTGTCGAGACCAGGTAGGAACATGCACGGAGGCACTTACAGAGTGCCTGGTCCGCAGGAAGCGCACAGAGCCCGAACCACATGGGGAGACAGCCGAGTGGACAAGGAGAGCCACTCCTAACCTCTGGGGGAGCCGGGGCCAGGGGAGTTCCCAGAGCACAGGCTCAGTGGGACTGTGAGCCGGCCCGGGCTCCAGCGCACCAGCAAATCTCTCAGGAGCAAAGTTCATCCAACAAACCATCAACTCGGGCCTCATCGTGTGCAGAAATGGAAACCCGAGTCTTCACACCTCCTGGGCCTCAGCCCTCACACTGCTTAAGAGAAGAAGGCGAGCCATCCTTGGTGTCCTGCTGACGGCGGAAGAAAGCTGGAGCCGCGCTGGCCAGGGAGGCTGAGCTCTGAGGATCCCGGCTCACGCATTCCGGGCGCGCCCTCCGCAGACCCCTGAGCACACACGTTCCCCTGCCCGGCCCCCGCCCTCGCGTTCAGCCAGGTGTCTCACGCCCCACCTACAGGCCTCAGGGGCTGATCCCGTCCCACCCCACCCTGCTGCGGCTCAGCCCCAAGGCCTCTGTGCCCGCGGGCCACAGCTCCCTTAGGGCCACGCCTCCCCGACCACGTCTCCCCGCAGGCCACGCCTCCCTGTTGGCCACACCTCCCTCGGCTGTCCACCCAGACCCCCACCCCTACCTTTCACAGAGGTCACCTTTCCCACCACCCTTCTCGGAACCGGAACCGTGAATGGAGCTCACCACCAAACAATTGTGAAGCATCTTCCTCTTCTGCTTCTCCAGCTCATACCGCGCGCTTACTTCCTGCAAGGACCGCTCCAGGTGACCCGCCTTCGACTGCCAGGCTGCGGGGACAATTTTACCCCAGGTGCGAGTGAGGTTTTCAGGGGAGGATCTTCATACCACTCCCCGTGACCTGCCCTACTTGCAGGAGACTTTCGCGTCCTGAGGGAAATTCACGGCTCTTCCCCCTCTTCTCCCAGCTCTCTGTAAAGCACCCCTCTTCGTCAGAGGCACACTATTGCCCATTAGATAACCATGCTGTCCCCTTTCCTGGAGCACGTGACACGGAGGACCGCAGGCGCACATGCACGTGCGCACCTGTCACAAGGCCGGAGACCCTGCAGAGGGTCCCTGAGCGGAACCCACCCAAGGAGCATGCCTTCATTCCTATGGTGCTTCTGGGGTGAGGACTTACAGCCCCACGGCCAAGGTACCTTGCTCCCCGGGCTGTAAGTCTGGTAGGTGACAAGAACATCCCCATCTCCACCCAGTAGTGACCGAGCCTGAGAAAGGGCTGAATGGACAGAAGGGACCATCACACTGCACTTCAGGGACATGACACGGGAGGCTCAGCAGGGACACAGCCCCAGCGCAGGGCCGGCATCAGAGAGAGCCTCTCGCCGTCCCCAGAGGACAGGGACCGCCCTGAGGGGTGCAGCCACCGGGACTGTGGCCCCGCGACGGCCAGCTCGTGCCTTGGGGTTTGCTCGTGTCTGCACCCAGGCGGGGGCACAAAGCCACAGCAGATGCCAACTCCAATCCCTGGCAGTCCTATGTGTCCGCACAATGGGCCGGGCTGCCTCTGGGCTAGGGCCTCAGCTTACCCAGCAGAGCCTGTGGCAGAGCTGTGCCCTCTGGACGGCCTCCACCGCTGCAGAAAGACCATCCTGCAGGTGCTCCCAGCAGGTTCTGAAAACCTCCAGAGAAGAGGCTTGCAGCGCCTTCCAGTCTTGCTTCAGGTTCCGGACCACAAGAACACACAACTGAGATGATGCTACTGATCACATCGCACATATGGAACAGTCACGTAAGTGTCTACAAAATAAGAACACAGCCACATGGATGACACGACCATGCACAAATCTCCCATGAACTAAATCCGTTCAGAGCTGAAGTTCTTAAACGTTAGAGGAAGGACAGCGTTCTGTCCGCTGCGGACTTCCTCGTGAGGACGACCGGGCCCCAGTCCCCACCCTCCGCACGCGGGAACAGGGCTCTGGTCTCTTGTCCCGACCGCCCTTGGGGCCACACTGTCCTGAGCACACGGCCAGAGCCATGATGGCCCCTGTGCGCGTGCGACCCACGTCCAGGTGCACCTGCGAGAGCGTTTCGAGAACTCAGGAAAATGGAGCCGATAAGCGGTATCCCCCACGTCAGGGGCTCTTCCCTTCTGGGACACTGTTTGGCACCAGTAGACAAGAGGCCCAGAAGGAAGGAGCTGACGTCCTGTGGTCTGACATCTAGCCAGCGAATCATGAAACCCCAGCTGATCTGAGATACATGTCCTTGGATTCTTAAGTCTTTCTTTTCTGTAAAACGGAGACCGTTTCCATATGTTTCGGAAACATTCTGATAAAATGTCCATACGGAATTGAATTACAGTATCTTTAGTACATGGGATGCAGATAAAGTTCCACACTTCCGTCAGAGATGGACCCCTTCCACTGAGCTATAAGAGGACAAAGGATTAATCCTCCGTAAATCGATTCTACACACACTCCCGCAGGTTGTGGGGAGGAAAAACAAGCCTCTCAGGGCAGACTAATCATGTTTACAGATGGCGTTTTTGCTGTTGTCATAATGATCTTTTTTTTTCGCTCTAATTTCTGCCCCGGTCACATTGTTTGTAACAAAAGGTGAACAATGCTCCTAATCACACGATCGTATAAAAATACCCCAGCACCATGTGGCCCTGGAGCACTGCCAGGTGTGCTAGAGCCACAGCCACGCTGCTTCCGACTTTTCTTTCCAGATGGCCCAGCAGGTCACCAGGACCTGCTCCCCTGTGACCGCGGTGGCATGCATCCTGGTTAACGTGACCTGCATAAAGCCATTTTCTACCATTTGACACTGGAATAAAGAAGAGGACTACCCTGCCCCCCAGTGTAGTGGGAGCAGAGCTGTGTCACACAGCCTGGCCACGGCCACACAGAGCTTCTCCCTCCCGCGTGGGCTCAGGACCCCAGGCCTCCTATTCAGCAGGTGCCGCAAAGGAGGCAGAGCTCCTGACGTGTGCGCCAGCGAGACGCATCACAAGCGCAGGAATGCTTCTCCCGTCTAATAAAGAAGGCCGTGTGGGCAGGGGGCCTGGGGGGCTCAGTCGGTTGGGCGTCTGCCTTCAGCTCGGTCATGATCCCAGGGTCCTGGGATCGAGCCCCACGTCGTGGGGCTCCCTGCTCCGCGGGGATTCTGCTTCTCCCTCTGCCCCTCCCCTGTTGGTGCTGTCTCTCTCTCTCTCTCTCTCTGAAAAATAAATAATTAAAAAAAAAAAGAAGGCCACATGGGTCAACTGTGCTGGAAGATCCACTACTGCTAACCGAGGAGCTTTGCTTCCTTACATCAGGCTCCTTGTAACCCCTGAAGTGTAGGTCCGTCCTCACGGGCATAAGGTCCACAGTCTCACCAGAAAACCAGCGCTGTGAGTTACGGACACGAGCGTCTGCCGTGTAAATAGAGCTGCTCCTACCTGAACTTGGCAGTGGAGCTGGTGTGTGGCTGGGGCTGCACTTCTCCGCGGCGGGTCCCGCTCTTGGCACTGGGAGCAGAGACAGGTGGCCGTGCTGTCCCCCTTTCTAGTCATTCCTCGGTACTGATGTGGAGAAGAGAATAAAAGACCAAAGTCTCAATACCTCCGAGCAGGTGCGCTTTCTCTGAGAGGAGACTATTCACTCATTGTCCACTGAGCCCCATCTGCTGCAGGGCCCGCGCGGCCAGGGGGGCGCGGCGGCACGGGGACGGGGGCGCGGGGGGGTGGCGGCATGGAGTTGGGGGCGCGGGGGCGGGTGGCCCGGGGACGGGGGCGTGGGGGGGCATGGGGACAGGGGTCACAGGTAGGGCCATATGGACGGGGGGGCATGGTGGCCGAGGCTGACGGCATCTGCATGTGGCAGGTGCTTAAGGGCCCAGGTTGTCTGGCCGATGCAACAATGGAGAGAACAGTGAAGGGTAGGGGGTGACGGGGAGGCCATGGGCCTCATCAATAATAGGGTCCCTGCCTGGGTGTTTTCTTCAGGGCAAAGCCAAGCCAGCGGAGATTTTCAGGGCAGATACTTGTTTAGGATGATGGCTCTGGGAGCTTGGGGGAGAAGGATGGAGCGAAGGGGGCTGAGTCAGGACACATTCAGGGACAACTTTGGCACGTCTGGGAGATGACACGGTGGGACGAGACAGGGGCCACTGCAGCTCCCAGGTCCCTGGCCTGCGTGGCCGGCTGCGGAGGGGCCATAACTCAGGTCCCAAGGAAAAGGTGATGTGTTTGGGTTTTTGCTTTGTTTTGGTTTGTTCTCCACGGTGTTTGAGTGTCGATGCTTTCATGCTGTGTCCTTGAAGCTCGTAAATAACGGCAAATGGTCTCCCCCTCCGCATGCAGCTGTGCCTTCCCATTCGGTGAAAACACGCGGCTGAATAACAGCCGTGCGCGGCATCATTGCCACCGCTGCTCAGTAAGACCGATTTACCATGAACTGACCGCGTATCCTAACATGAAGGTGCACAGCTCCGAAGCCGCAGGGCGCACGTGCTCACTTCATGAGCAGGAACTGGCTTCTCTTCGGGAGGAGCACAGAGGTGGAGGACGCAGGCCTCTCCGCATGGTGGGGTCAGCGTGGGACACACTGGCCACCGACGCAGGGCCCTGCAGTGAGGAGGAGGCCTGACGGGTGTGGGGCTCCCCCGAGTGTCTGCGCCTGACTGAGGACAGCATGGAGCATGGCAGGGATGCCGGCCATGGAGACGGGCAAGCCTGGAACAGGAGCTGCTGCTGCGGAGGCCAGGCCAGGGCGTGGGGTGAAGCACCCTGAGCACTGGCACCGCGTGAGCATCGGGGGCCAGGGGGCCCCGCCTGGCTGCCACACGTGAGTTTCTGGGTGTTTGTTCCTTACTTCGCTTCCTCTACAGCAGGGAACAGAGGCGAGGCTGCCGTCAGCTGGGCAGGGCTGGCGCCCCTCCGTGCCGGGCGGGAAGCCTGCCCGTAGATCCAGGGCTCTGCACACTGTGGTCCATCCCACTGCCGCCACGCCCACGACTGTGGGACAGTCCTTATCTCACAGAGGTGAGCTCGGAAGGAACATGACCCGGAGGTTCAAGGCCCTGCTCCTGGCTGACAGTCATGCAGGCCTGGGTCACGCCTCTGGTGACAGGAAATAAACCAGCTAGCAATTTCACGTAATTAGGCTCATCTGCTCAGGAGCTTCGGACTGAATTCCACTCAGTACCATGAAAGTAGGAAAGTACCATGATGGTAAATGAATTCTGTCAAAACTATCCGACGAGGGAGCAGCGGAGGGGGATCGAGAGTTCTGTGAACTTTGAGCAGCATTCCATTCCCTTCTTTCATTGGTGCTGCAGGACCAGAGAAGTCCGCTAAATGCCAGAGAGGAGAGAGGAGGCGTGTTCGTGCCTCGTGGGCCGGACCTGCCTGAATGGCCAGGGGTCCGCGCTGTCCCAACGCAGCTGAGCCCGCACTCCTCCACCCCCGACGCCAAGGCTTCACGCCGGCTCACATTGTTGTTGAAACCAACGTCTTCCCTAGACTCCAAACCGTGAGGCTGGGTGTTTTCTTTCAGTCAAAGCTTTTGACTGTAATGTTCATGAAACCACATCAAGCAAATTCTTTCTGAGCCAGGACCAGGATGGACGCCCGAGCTACAGTGAACAGGACACAGAGATGGCAGGTGGGAAGCGTCCGCTGGTGAGGATGGGGAATCTAGTACTTCTTGATGGGAAACCTTCACACTTAGGAGAATCTACACAACAGGGAAGCTCAGGAGAACCCGCTCATCCGCGGGATGATAAAGACGACAGAGAACATGCGGTGCAGCAGGTGCCGGGAGCTGCGTGGGCACGGACTTGTAGACGGACTAGAGCTCAGGGACATCATGCGGTTCACTGCCTCCACCCCTCAGGTGGCTAAAGACAAAACTGAAGCAAAATGAAGGTCCTCAACTCAGAAGGCTCAGATTCTCTCCGGGAAAAAAATAATGTACATATAAATATCCAGACCTGTATTCTGAAGTCTCTGGGACTGACTGTAGGTCCAACAGGAATTCAGAGGGAAATGAAGTAGAGTGACCGAGTCCGGCACACGGGACGTGGGGCTGCCCGGCTTCCGGGGCCGGGCTGGTTTGGGAGAAACGGGCAGAGAGCCACGGGCGTCCAGGGAGAGTGGGCAGCAAAGCTGCGTAAGCATGAGCACACGGTTCTGGGGAGGCGCTTGGACGCGCTCTGGGAGAGATACCGGAACAGGGACAGTGTCCGCAGGTTGGAGGACCCGCGGCGGAGCTGTGACCGGCCACTCTGCGCAGAGAGGACAGAGGCCGGTGGACGGCAGCTCTTGGCAGAGCCCTGCGGGCCACCCGGCTCCATCCCAGGCACGCGGGCGGGCGGGAGGCTTGGGCCCCAGAATGAAGATGTTCTGCTTCATAATCATCAAAAATGACTTAGAGGGACTTAGCATACCAATGCCAAAAATGTTACAGGCTTGTATAACTGACAGCTATGCCTAACAATCTTAAATGTGAAAGAAAATGTTTTTAATTTCATCTTGAGGATGTTTGGAAACACCGCTGGAGCTTTGCGGCAGAGCTCACCGACGGAGGGTCGTGAGCTCCGCGATCCCACTGGCTCTGTGCCTCTAGCCCTGCAGCAGGTTGGGGCAGGACCACGGCGCGCCCGCTGGCCGTCGGCTCCGGGGTTCCTGCGGCTGACGCAGACACCTGCCACATCCGCCGCCGACCCGTCCGTGCCCCTCGGAAGTGCTGTGGGAAGGTTCTGGGGCAATGCAGGGGAGATGTGCTTCTGGCCAGGGCTCTGGCCAGAAGCGCCGGCAAACGAACCAATAAATTAATACTTAATTTAGGAAGCAGTACGAACAGCCCTAACTTAATCTACAATTCAGTGCAACTAAGTTTGGTTCAATGAAACTTGACAGGGTTGTTAGAGGAGTGACAAGAGCTTGAAGACTGGGTTCTGCCGTGAGGCCCTCAGGAGAAATCTGCAGGGGTCACAATTTAAAGATGAGGAACTCAGATGTGCTTAGCTTTCCAAACAAATGACCACCGCCTGGGAGTGTTGGGTGACAACACAAGGGCATCTGCTCGCAGTTCTGGAGGCCAGCATCAGAACCCAGAGCCTTCGGGGCAGGATCCGCCCGCCTCTCCGGCTCCCGTGGCCACCGGGTTCCCTGGCCGTGGTTGCGTCTGTGCCTCTGCGGATGGCCCCTGCGCCATCTTCACATGGCCTTCTCCTCCTGCAGGGACTGCCGTGGCACACAGGGCCCACCCGAGTCTTCTGGGGGCTGCAACGGCTGGCCGTGAGAGACCAGAATGGACAGGCTTCCACCTGGCGCTCTCCTCCACACACCCTTCCTTCGAGGTGGACAGCTGATCTGGGCTGAATCACGCGAGTGTCAATGCCAGGACGCCAGAATTGGTCTGGAAGTGGGGGAGGGAAGGGGATGAACACGAGTGGCATGAGGGTCTTTGAGGGGCAGGTGCAGGGGGTGTCATGATGGCCAGGCAACCACAAGTGGACTGAACGCCCACTTGTATATGCTTAAACTGGGGAGAAGTCGTGTTCGTAAGTTCGAACTCAATGAAGCGCAGGCACCTCACTAATTCCTGACTCACTGGATACTCGTGAGCACGGGGATCGAAGCTTGAGCAGTACAGGAGGCCACTTCAGTGGATGCGAGAAAGGGAAGGCCCGGGATGGGCTGCAGCCCTGAGCCCGGGCAGGACTTGGTCCAGCTCCATCTGCCAAACTCATGGGGGCGCTACCTGGGCCAGTCTCAGGTGAAGAACAGCATTTTCCGTTTCCACTTCAACTATCTGCTCTTCTTTGGCCCACAACCAAGGACAAAAAAGGGAAATTAGCACCATAATTGATATTCATCAGTAAGCATTCCATCCTCAGAAGGAAGCCAGCACCCGTGTCAGTGATGAACTGCAGGGGGCGTCAACTGGAGTGGGGGCGGCTTCTGACGCGGGTGGGCACCCCCGTGCCCCGTGTCTATGACCCTTACTCCAAGGGTGGTCCCCAGCAGCAGCCTCTGGGGGCTTGCTGGAAATGCAGAATCCTGCATTATGGCACATAAATTATACCCCAATCTAGCTGCTGAAAAAGTCTCACCCCAAATCTACCAGAGTCTGCATTTTAGCGAGAGGTCCAGGTGACCTATATGCAAGTTAAAATCTGGAATGCACCAAAATCAGCATTTCTTTCCTTGCATTAACTCATATTCAAAAACTGTTAGAAATCTGTCATGTGCCAGGCACTTGTCTGGGTGCTGTGGACACAGCCGCAAATGATCAGGTGCAGGGTTCCCATCCTCATGGGGAGACGTGGAGGAGCCAGTGCATGGGGTAAGTGAGCTGGGGAGGGGACGCCAAAGTTAAATCAGTGATGTGGGTTCAGAGGCAGGGCGGCTGCCCGAGGGTGAGGAGGGCTGGCAGGCCAGCAAGGAAACCAGAGGAAAGAGACAAACCCATGCAAAGGCCCTGAGGCAGGAATGAGTTTGCTGACTTGAGGCGCAAAGAGAAGGTGAGACTCTGGGGAGGAGCCTGGGACCTGGGAGGAGGGACGACAGGGAAGAAGGGAGTGTTATCTGCAGGGTTTTAAGCAGAGGAGTTTAAATATGAGCTATTTACAGTAAACGCTGAGCAAGCCAGCCACTGGAGGCCTCGGTGGACAGGAAAGCACAGGTTTCTGGGAAGGTGGCCCAGGGGCCTTTCTGCAGGGAGTGCCTCTCCAAGCCCGCTGATGTGCAGCTCTCAGAGAACTGTGATCATTTCAGGACAAACTCTTTGTGACTGGTTATAAAACCAGAAACCTGGCTGTCATCTGGACTTTGTTACCATGTTCAGTTAATTTTACCTCTTAAAAAAAAAACAACAAACCTCGAATATTTCCGAAGTCCACTTCGGGCATCCAGCAAGATGCCGCCCCTGCCTGCAGCGTTATGGAGCTGTAAGTCACTTGCAGGCCCCCGTGCGCAGGTCGGCGGCTTTGGTATACTCACGGTGGTGCTGCCGTCACCCAAAGTAGTCTGGGAGTATTTTCATCTCCCCAAAAGGAAACCCCACCCCTGACGACCCCCAACCCAGCCCAAGGAAACCACCGATCTATTCTCTGTCTCTATAGATTTGCCATTGGACATTTTGGATCAACGGAAGCACAGGATATGTAGCCCCTTGTGAGCGGCTTCCTTCACTGGGCACTTCATTCTCAAGGCTCAACCGAGTTGTGGCGTCCTACCAGAATTTTATTTCCTCTCATTGCCTGATCAAATTCGATGGTAGAGCTGTGCCACATATATTTACCCATCCATCAACTGAAGGACATTCAGGCTGTTTCCAGTTTTTGGCTATTCTGAATAGTGCAGCTATGACATTCCTGAACGAGTTTTTGTGGGACACACGTTTCCCTTTTGCCTGGGCGTATTCCTAGGATGGGAACCGTGTGCGGTACCCCTGGTTAGCATCTGAGGAACTAACTCACTCTCCCACCTGCAGTGCGCGACAATTCCAAGCTGTCCACACCCTTGCCAAAACTCCCCATCTGTCTCTCTGAGCACGGCTGTCCGAGTGGGTCGGAAGTGGTGTGTCATTGCGATTTGATCTGCATTGCCCTGATGGCTAACGCTGACCATCGTTTTCAATATGCAAGTCATGCAATCCTTAGTTAAATTTCTTCCAGAGCATTTCATTATCTTTGATGATACTGTAAGTGGAATTGTTGTTTTTAATTTCATTTTTTTTTTTTTCATTCCTGTGAAGCAGAAATACAGATTTTTGCACCTGGATCTTGCATCCTTCAACATTGCTGAAATCACTTACTAGGGCTAATAGGATTTTTTGGTGGATTTCTTAGGATTTTTCCATATATGAGATCATGCCATCTGCAAATAGAAATAGTCTTCTTCCCTCCTTCTGTCAACTTGCCTAACCACACAGACGAGCCATCCAGGAAGATGGTGAACAGACGTGATGAGGGTGGGGCTGTTCATCTTGTTCCTTTCACCTTACGCGTGTCAGCTGGGGGCTTTCGTGGACATCCCTTTATCAGCTTGAGGAGTCACCATCTGTTCCTAGTTGGTTGAGTGTTTTCATCATGAAGTGGAGTTAAGTTTTGTCCAGTGCAATTTTCTGGATCTATCGAAATGAACTGGACATTTTAGGAAATATATTGTGGAAACTTTAGATAGTGATGCCTTTCCTCCACCCACAGTTTTCTGTTGTTGTTGTTTTTTGTTTTTTGTTGCTACTTGTGTGCTTTGTTGAGTGATTTAGCTCGCCTCTTCCAGGGAAGTCTGCCCACCCCCCGAGGGAGGGACACAGCCGCGGGCATGCACACAGGCACTGAGAGACTGCAGTTTAAGCAGGGCTCTTGTTAACTGCCTCTCCCTAATCTCTCTGTTGCTCTGTCTCCCTTGGTATCACAACCACCCCACTAATTACTGACTGCCTTATTGTTTTCAATAATGGCCTGAGGCATAAATTTCTCTACTGTCTGGTCCAGTTAAACTGGGGCAGGGCTACTTTTGGAAGCCAGTCTTTGATATTTGTCCTAACCCCAGGTTCTTCTTAGCCTTGAGTGAACTAGGTTGCTAATTATGGGCTGTATCCCGTGCCCGACCGCCCCCCGCCCCCCACACACAATTCACTTGTTGAAGTCCCAAGTCCAGGACCTCAGAATATGATTGTATTTGGAGACAAGGCCTTTAAAGGGGTGATTAAGTTAAAATGAGGCCGTCAGAAGGGGCTCTAATCCAACCTGACTGGTATCCTTATAAGAAGAGAAGATTAGGGTACAAAGGGTACTCCAGGGATACCCACACACAGAGGAAAGACCACGTGAGTGCACCACAGAAGGCAGCCACACACCACAGAAGGAAGCCAAGGGCTGAGGCCTTAGGAGAAACCACCCCTGCCTACACCTTGGTCCCAGATTTCCAGTCTCCAGAACTGAGAAGAACATATTTCTGTGCTACTTTGTTATGGTGCCCAAGCACACTAATAACTGCTCTTAATTAAGAATAGTTCGTTTCTGAACTTCCCCACAGTGTGTTTTGGAGAAAGTTCCTTTGGGAAGAGCTTCAGAGCTCTCTCTTCTTATGGGCTGCCTCTCCCCCCGGGCGAAATCACCGATCTGGGCACTGGGCAGGGCTGTGGCCTCCGGTCTTTTGGCTGGCTCTCTCACTATGAAACCTTTGTGCTGATCAAGGGCAGAAAGAGCAACTGGGATCCCAGTATTCCTGGCCTCTGTTCTGGGGTGAGGCCTCTGTCATATGAGTGGGGAGCCACATGAACCCCCAAGCCTCCCCCGCCACGGGTAATTTAGCGTCTTCAGCTGTGTGCTGGTGAGATATGCTGAGACCCTAAGTCAGAAGCTGCGGGGGGGAGCCCCATCTTGGACACGCACGCCCAGAGTGGACCTTCTGTCAAGGTGAGCTCGGCTGGTGGGAGGGAAGGAGCCACAGACTTGCACTGTTCTTACAGAGATGTTTAGCAGATTTCTTGAATAAATGTTTCTTCCCGTGATGTATGCCATTAGGGCCATTTTCCTACGATGTGCCGGTTTTGCTCGGAGCAGGTGCGGAGGTCCTCGTCCTGCCCTCCCAGCAGTCCTGCCCGCACCTTCTAACTCCACCCGACATCTTCACGCTTGTCCTTCGAGGAGGACTTGCTATGAGTGACATTTTCAAAATGTGCATCTAAGTATCGTCCCCCTCTTAAGATCTCTCCAATAGCCTTTCCTGGCCCTCAAGACAAAGAAAAACATCCGCAGTCCTGCTTGACCCTGCGTGGGCTGCCTTCCCCCCGCCTCTCGGCCTCCACCGTCTGCTCTCTCCCGCGCCCTGCCGGTCTCCCAAGGCCAGCCCCGCCCGCACACACCACACACACCGTGCCAAGGCTGTTCTGTCCTCAACCCTCAACCCCGCTGCCCGATGGCAGCCTCCCATCTCAGCAGAACTCAGCTCCACCTCTGCCCCCAGGGGAAGTCCTCGACTGGGATTCAACCAGGGTTGCACTATAGACCCTAACAAGACCACGTACCTCCCCTCTCTAGCATTATCTTGAGGCCACTTTCATGGCTTACATTTATTGTGACTATTCATTCCTTTATTCAAGGCTATACTCCAAGAGAGCAGGGTTGTTGCTTAACCACTGTACTCCAAAATTTAGCACAGTAAATAGTAAACGCCCAATAAGTAACGGGAGGGCCCTGGGCGGATGACACAGGTGCCTCAGGTGAGGGGCATGAGGGCTCAGGTGTGGGTGGGGTGGGGTGAGGTCCAAGGGGCACTACAGACGAGGACCCTACAGAGCAGCCTACAGAGCAGAAGGTAGAAGATGATGGGGCCTCTACCCCCAACACAGTCTTCCGGTGCCATCACCCCAACCCTCCCACGCTGGCCACGCCCCCAAGGCTCAGAGGCGGGAGGGGGCGGTCAACCCGGCCAGTGGGGCTGCAGGTGTGGCCGCAGCTGCACTCAGCTGCCCCTGCTTACCTGCACCTGGCGCTGCAGCTGCCTGGCCCGCTGCTCCAAGAAGCGGCCCCAGCAGCCACCCTGAGCAGGCATCGCCAGGCCCAGCTCTCAGCCACAGAATCCGAGTGGGTGGGCAGTTTGTGCCCTGTGGTTTCCACGGCAACGGGGTCAGGGGACTGCCGGGGAGGAGGGAGGCGTGGGCAGGGGAGTGGCTGCATTTGAAGACCGTTTCCGAAATACTGTGGGTGTTCCAAATCCCATATAAATGACAAGCCTCTTTGGGTGGTACAAAGAACTTAACTTCTGTCTTTCCCTTTTTACATCTGCCAAGTGACCATGGCTTCCTTTACCATAGGAACGTTGATCTGTGGGGTCCACACACAGGAACTTAATTCAGTATCTGCTGCCTCACTGAACAGATCCGAAGGAACAGGCAGGGCAAGGCGCCGCGTCGCTGCAAATAAGCCGCATCCTCCCCCACAGCACACTCCTCCAAAGCTGCCTGAAACAGAAATAACAAAAACAGCCACGGAGTTGGGGTTCGCTGGGCAGCCGGGAGACGTGAGGCCTCCTTCTGCACTGCCGGGGGCTGGCAAGGCCATGGACGGGGAGGGGGTGCATCTGCCGGCCCTGCCCTGGGAGCTCCAGCACACCTGTGATGCACACACATGATGCACCATGTGTGACGTGTGTGTGCCGTGCACACGGATACAGCGCGACCACTCCTAGAACAGACCCCCCCCCGGGGGGGTGGCTGGGCACGGGGGACAGGCCGGCTGCACTGGCTGGATGGCAGGGTGCTGCCGGTCCGCCAGCCCGCCATGTCCCTCCCACCACTGCACCTGCCCGAGGCACGTCTCAAGGCATCTGCTGGTGCCACATCCACCGGCCTTCCTCCGAACTGGCGCCTTCACCACGGTGGGTCGCAGCTGCAGGCGGAGCCTAGTCCTCCCTGAGGCTGATCCAGCTACCGGCCGCGGGGAAATGACACGCTGGGTTTCAAAGCCTTCCTACGAAAAAGAATGCGGACTACCTCGTGCGCACGGTTTGTGCTGACCACATACTGTCAGGATAGTTTTCGGACATCTGGGCTGAGTAGAATATGCTGAAATTTACTTCCCGTTTGCCTTTTCTCTTCCAACGCGGCTGCTCAAGAACAAAATGTCCTAAGTGATTAGGGGTGCTGGACCATCGCCTTTACAGGGAGAATGTGGAAAGCGGCTCCAGGGTATGAAGCGGGGGTTGGTTAGCGGCTGACCTAGGTGCTGAGTCGCGGTCCCGTGATGCCCCCAAGCCCGGCCTCCGAACCAAGCCCCCTGCATGCAGCTGCATGAAGGCCGTGAATGTTCCTCTGAAGCCTGAGGCCCTCCTCCCCGGTGCCCTCGGCTCCCGCGACCCGTGCGGAGGTCTCCTGACGTCTGCGGGCAGCAGCCTCTCTGCCCAGGGGTCTCCTCCGCCTGCAACAGCACAGCCCCTCCTCTCAGGAGGGAAGCCATTTCCGCGGAGGGCCCGCCAGCAGGGTTAGATGGGGTCCTCCTGGGCAGCCCAGAGTACCCGGTGCACCTGCTGTGCACAAACTGAGAGACGAACTGTGCTCATGTAACTGTGCACCCCTGCCTTCCCGCATCGGCTGTGGGACACTTGGAACCTGCGTCCCCAGTGACTGACACAGAGCAGGCACAAATGAGTTGTGTTTGTGAAATAAAGTGGGAGAGAAATGGACTTTTATGTTTGGAGTTGCATTCGCATCTTTTGGGGCGCCATGACTTTGAACAAACTGCACTGAAACCGGTCACTTGGCATCTCCTTTCCAGGGAGACTCCCTGCTGTAGGCGACACAGCATGGAGACCCTGAAGGTACGACTCGGCTTCCCATGCAGGGCACCGGCATGGCTCAGTCGGTTAAGTGGCCACCTCTTGATTTCTGCTGGGGTCACAATCTCCAGACGGGGCCCCGAGCTGGGGGTGGAGCTTAGACTGTCCCTCTGCCCCTCCCCCCAAAACCCAAACCAGCTCCCCATGCAACAGAGCGGCACAAATCGTTTTCCCATGGCACACGCTAGAAAACCCTGCAGGGCCTGCTGTTGTTGTGATGTCCACGAGAGAAAGCCTCGGTAGGTTAGACTTCTTACTTCCATCAGGAGCAACAGAACCGCGGTCCTTGAGACAACCTGAGTCAGTCTCTAAGTTTCTGTTCTCCCAAACTTTAAAGCACCTTTTTGGGCATTAAAAATACACTACCAGCGAATATCCTCATTCCAGTATATAAGCAGCTGGTCCTACCCAAAGGCCTCCCTGAGCTTCTGCAGCCCTAAGATATTCCCTCCTTCAGGAAAGCCCTTCTCGAAATTCTGGGGCAGCTCCTTCACCCAGCACGCCTGCTCTGGGGCCACGAAGGAAGGTGGACTAGGCACAGGGAACACAGGAGGCAGAACCTGGGAGAGGCAAGTCCCCCTCCAGGTGCAGCCAGAACGCTCCCTTCTCACGCCACCTGTGTGCTTTCATGACCCTACCGCCTTCCATGAGCCACCTCGGGCGGGTCTTTGCTGCTCCGAGGCATCGCCAGGACATCTGATCCACACAACTTACGAAATACGGGGTGTGCTTCAGAATCCAAGAGGCAATGAAGGGACCGTGTGAGTCTGTGTGACCACGGGGTCTACTGACATGCCCAGCAGGTCGTGGAGCAGGGGTGGGGAGATGAGCGTGGGGGACCACGGCAAGAGTGGCCTGCGGCCTCTGTCAAACAGCCAGCCCGATCAGTACAAACCAGAAAGAGCGCCTGACACAGACGGGACCCTCGGGGGACCTTTCGTGAATGACCTCACAGGCAGAAGGGGACGGGAGACAAAGGTGCCGATCACAGATGTAATTCTGCCCGCACAACTGCAATAATGGCAAACACACTTAAATACATACAAAGTTTATTAAAAATAGATTGCAAATGAAGTACAGTAGAAATGGGAAAGTACAGCAGTTGTGGTGTCCCCAGTGACGCAGTTATGAAAAGCACGTGTTCACATTTGACCCGATCACCCAAGGGTGGCCCAGCCCGCCTGCCCACAGGCCTGATGACCACACACACAAATACTCCTGGATGTCAGTATTTACATGTATTTGCATGTACTTACGTGTAGTTGCTATTTTTCTATATATTAACAGAAAAGTAATTCATCTGCATCTTTTCATGGAAGAAAGTGTGAATTTAGTCCCTATAAGGCGGCCAGTGTTCTCGAGCTATCTGGGAGGGGCCTGCTTTTCCTGGAACCTCCAGAGCAAACACCCACATCCTTCATAAACACTTAGAACCATTTGACGCTCTTAAACAAGGGGAATGGTGAGAGAGCACACTTCCAAATAAGAACCCTGATAGACGTAAAAATATTTACACTCGCATTTCAATGATTTATCATACAGCTCTCATTAAAGCGATTTCTCAGGCTAAAAAGCCTCTCCCTCTTCTATTTGAAAGTGTGTGTATTTTTCTAACACATATATTTGTAAGAGAACAATCTGGTACAGAAGAATCATCGAGACCCCACAGCAGGGTTTTGTCAAGCAGAAAATTTGCTCATAATCACAACGTAAGTTAGCACTTCCACGGCACACAGTAGAAATCGACATGAGATCCGTCTCCCCAGCATCAGCCACACAGTCACAGCTGAAGAAACAACAGCGATGCCCAATGACGCAAAAATGAAAATTAAGTAACTCTATTCAATTTAAGAAAATCGCTTGAACTACCGTCCGAGGCTGTGTGACATTGTAAGTCACCGAGCCTTCCTTGCCAGACAACACGTGGATGGAACCGGTCCTTCCTCGAAGGTAGAATCCCTGAGCCCCAGCCGTGTCAAGCATCACTACTAACCTCCCATCCCTCTCATACTTCCATGTCTCTCCACATCAACATGGCCCAGCTAAACAGATCCTCTCTTATAGATTCTCTTGAATAGTCGAGATACTTAGTGAACTCCCTAACTGAACTGCCATCTTCAAAATCACCAATGATTTATTAGTCTAACAATAATCTGGCATTTATAAAAATAAAATATCCTAAGCTTAAATCCTCAAAATTTTCTTCTTGGAGAATTTTTTTTTAAATCACCTATTTAGAATATAGCAGGAGAGCTGTCCCTGGATGGAAGGAGAGGGAGCAGGGTCCTGACAGGCACCACCTCCCTTCTGGGCCGCGTGGGTCTGAGCTGCCTTGGAAACCCCCCGGGGAGAGGGGGGAGACGAATGAGCAAGGCCGGGGGCGGGCTCTGCACTGAGCCCCCGTGCGGGGTATGCTCAGGTGTTCTCTCTCCTGGAAGGGGACACCTCGCCCTCGGGGGACGCGGTCTGTAGCTGCTACCCAATGGCACAAACAAGGTCTGGGCAGGTCAGGTGGTTCCCTGCCTGGTCGCCACAGCGCCGTCAGCGACCCAGAACACACAGAGCCTCTGCGCCGTGCCGGGCGAGGGCAAAGACATGTCCCCACTGTGCTCTCCTGCCCTGCATTCTCCCCTCTGCCACTCAGACGCTAAAAAAAGAAACAAAAAACTTATCTTCATGTGAGTCAGATTAAGAAATTAGACAGTGTTTACATTGTATAAATGATCATCTCCTGGTGAATGAAAAGAGCATCTTGGAACGGGACCATCTCTGGATCCCAGCCGTCTCAGCAACGGTGATTCTGGGACCCGGACACACTGTGCGCAGCCCCTGCCGGGAGCCCGTCCTCCAGAGCCTCGCCGACAGGCTCCTGGGGCGCACAGGCACCTCGGCCTCATCTCATTTTGTGTTCAGCTCATTTTCCAGTTCTGTTAATTTACGAGAGGCTTTTACTTTGTTGGACACATCTTGACCTTGTGAAAACAGACGCTGACGCTCTTTGAATGTCAAGTTTTCAGGGGCTCCTGAACTCCCAGGTACATCTGCATCATGGCTGCAGCAGAGGAAATGCAAGACATCACTGGTCAACAATGGAACTAACCTGTCAACACTAATTCCATTCAAAGTGAGGTAACTTGACATAACGGGCAATTAAGTACACTTTTCCATGAGGGAGACTCATTCCTTGTTAAATTTGCCATAATCCTTCCCATGAATACAATCACTGGGGTTGTCACTAGGCAGAAAAAAGGGCAGGACGTTCTCCTGACTAAACTGTTAACTTTCTCCAGCCATGTCCAACTCAAAATGCCGGTCACTTCAATATTAGCAGGCCGGGGATTCTTAATAGGTGAGCTAGCTAAAGAGGGAGAGCTTAAAAACATGTAATTTTAATGAGTCCACATGTACCCGAGAGGCATCTATCAGTATACCTACCTTAACAAGTTAGTGTAAGATACTAAAGATTTTCTCGATGAGCTCAATGCCAGTGTTCTAAGAACTGTTTGGACTACAGCCTAGGTAAGGGTGCTCGGTGCAGACACGAGGCCTGTTTACGGTTTGTGCATCGTCAGGGTTGGCCTTAGGCAGAGTCTAGCAGGATGTCTGGACACTGCTCTAGAATCTTCCGCCCTCGTCGGCGGAAGCAGACAGCAGCATGCCCAGCTCCTTCTGGAGTTCTGACCACTAAGCCTGAAACCTACATCACTGTCTGAAACACAACGCAAAATAAAAGAACCTCTAGGCTCACACACTTGTGGAATGAGAAATGTCTGAGATGATAATGAAATCTCTAAAATTCCACTCCAGCCTCCTACAGAATTAGCACAGCCATAAATACCTTTTAGACAGTCTCTCTCTCGGATCCCGATAAGCATCATGGGCACCAACAGCTGTCCCAGCCGATCCCATGTAAGAGTTTGGTCCTTTTCCATAAAAGAAAAAAAAAAAAAAGTTAAAGTGCCTGCACAATTTCCAAAACTTGACTCATGATCAAGATGCAGTGCCCACGGAGGAGTACTGAAAATCTGACAGGAGGCTGTGGGTCTGAAGCTCGTGTCTCTCAGTGGCCTGAGTAACCCAATCACCAGGCCGTGCAAGTGCACGGTGCTCTGAGCCAGCCATGCCAGCCATGTCCTTAAGGAGCGACAGCCAAAAGGTTCAAATCAGTTAATATGCATAATTCCCATGAATTCACAAGAAAAATCCACAGAAGACTAATTTAAATGAGCAGACTGTCAGACACTCATGAGGCGAAGGGTTTCCTTACAAAATAACTGAGAGCAAATGTAACCCAAACAGTAAGCAGTGATCACATGCCTCAAGTTTCTCTTTTCAGGACAGCTCCTGAATTTTTTTGCTACATAAATGGCTATAATTACTAAAACAAAACTTTTCAAACAAATGAGTTACAGAAAAAGCCCTAGTGTTTGATATAAATGCTGTAAATACAAACTCACTCAAAACCAGACCCAAAGCAGTGTAGAGGAGGAGTGCGTGAGCCTGTGGGATGCTCAGCCTGGGTCCCCGGCTCGGCCTGAGCCTGGCCCAGCGCCTGGGGTGACTGACGGCAGCCAGCCTGGGAACGGCACCACCCTCCCAAGCCAGTGTTAAAGATCAAAAGAGATGACGTAGATAAAAATTTTAAAATGCATCCAAATATAATATTACCACTAATGATATGTTATTAAAATCATAGTGCATTATGTCAGCACTCATATATTCTCTTAATTTTAACATCAGCAAGAAAAAAAAATTTCACGCTTGAAGAGCGTTGTGCTTACAATGATACAAGCTGGAGCAATAAATGCTCAAAATACTCAGCAAACACTGACAGCATGGGTATTGGATTAGACAGGCCAAAAAATCACTACAATATGTCGACAGTAGAATTTTCCTTTTTAGACAGCAGCATAAAATTGATTTCTAGCTTCTTCTCTGGATGCAGGAACATGCTGTGCAGACCCAGCTGGTTGGCTGAGGCAGAGCGCAGGGCTGGCTGGGGCTCCTCGGGGCACTGCATCATTGCCGGTCCTTTACCAGGGTCCCTGTGATCGCCACGTGGGAAGTCATCCTCCACAAAGACTCAAAAGATGAAACAGACCCACATCTCCAATGTGGAGCAACCCAGAGCAGGCCTCCACAGCAATTATTGGCAGAGTGAAATTTTTTTCCATTTTAATTCTAAATTTTCGCTGTTTTAGAAAATGTTACGTTGTATCTTTTGAGTTTTGTTTTAAGAATGATACTTGCTTCTTCCACTGGTAAAAATCAATTCTTCAAAGTTTTCAAAGTTAATCAGAATATTAAATACTTTCAGTGGACTATATGAATCAATACTGCACATTTCAAGTAATTTTCAAAGAGCTCCAGTTAAAGAACCGTTCTTTTTTTAAAAAATACCTTGCTATGCTAGAATGAGACACTGTTTATTCTAATCCGTACCCCTTTCCTCCTCCTCAGGCACCCAGTGGAAGAAACCAGTCCACCCACAGAAGCATGCAGAGTGCTCACAACAGAAGAAACACGAGCTGAACCCAGGGGCGTGGCCATGTTAGTGGGATGGCGGTGAGGTGGTCAGAAATGCTCTGCATTTGGTGCAGACAGCTTTGTACTTTACGAAGGAAGTCTTCCAAGAGGCACGAGCCATCAGACGCAGGATATAACCTGCTCCTATGTGGTCTTTTCGGTGTGAAATAAAATAAGGGTTAGTGGTATGAGTGAAAGCCAAGGTGGTCAGAAATGAAAACAGCCCAACATCGCGTTAGCAAACCTCATCTGTGTCATGACACACAACACCTCAAGTTTTCAGCTTGTAACGTGATGCAAGGAGACTGAGGGCATCTCACTTCAAAAGCTATTGTCCCAGAAAAGTCTTTCTAGATACCGACAACAGACATTTTATAAAAAGATTTAATTTTGACTTCTGAGTGACTCAGTCTCAATATTATATGCTGAGCCTTCGGGGTGGATCAAAGCTCTGACGCCAATGGGAAGAGAACCTGGCAGAACTCATTTGTTCTGGAAGAACCAAGGTCACGCATGTTTTTAATCATTCAACTTCTTTTAGAATTCTGAGTCCCGGGCATTGCACCAGGAGCATTTTAGAAGACCCTTGTGCCCACGAAGACCACTAAATCTGACAGTCTTCATTGCTAGCATTCTAATTTTAAGATTGTAAGAGGAACTTGGAATTTGAATATTTTAAACATCCCTTCCAGTGCCGTCTCGGACACTGCTTACGGCGGATGCGCCTGTGGGCAGGACCACCATCACGTCAGAGTTTGTATTAACTCAAGGCAACTGTGTGCCTGTCAGGGTCTGGGTACTAGGACTGTGACATGCGGGGAACATCTGTTAACAGGAACGAAACCAGCAAGAGGGAAAAGGAGTCATTTCACAACGACTGGGTTCTATGTCCCTGGCGTGAGGCAGCTCACATTACAGCAGAACCATCAACTCAGTGTAGCGCCAACTACTCCACCCAAACTACCACGGAAAGTAGGGGTCATCTGGTAAACCACTGCCACGTGGCGCGTAAGCCAGAACAGAAAGTTCTACTCATGTTGGAGAACAGAACTTAGCATGTGACCCTGACACTCCTGGGAAGAACATCTTACTCTCTTCAGACACCAAGATGTGTGAAAAAAGTACGTGTTCAACCAAATATAAGAGTTATTTGAAGAGGCAGAGAATGGAGGCCAAGACCAACAGTACTTCAAGTGACTGGGGGGTCCCGGAGGGCCAGCCGCTGCTGGCGGTCCGAGGGACAGAGCCCTACGGGTAGAAAGCAACTGGGGAGCTGGTGTAGTTGCCAAAACGACTCTGAGCACAGACAGGACAACTGGAGGTCGGGGAGGTCACCACACTGAGACTAGTGATCGGGCGAAATCAAATCCCAAAGCGAGTGCTGATTGAGGGGGCCCACAGAGCAGCAGGGTGCAGAGTCCCGATTCCAATCAGGAAGATAAAGAGGGCTTGATTCGCAATCCCACATTTTACCTCTATCTTTCAAGTGGCTGGGCTGGTAGAAGCCTGGTTTTTTTGGAGGGGGCGGGGGCTGGCCTGCTTTGGGAGCAGTACTGTTGGCACAGGCCGAGGGTGGCTGCAATGAGCTGGAGAGACAGATGCCATCGGAGGCCGGGCGTGGCGGGCAGGGGGGCTGCTGCAGCTTAAGGGCGGCGGGAAGAAGAAGGTGCCCGTGGGACATCCTCGCGCCAGAGCGCTTGTCCTGACCTGCCAGACTGCGGTCCTCCTCCTCCTCCTCATGGTACGAGACGAGCCTGGCGGTGTACACAGAGTCTGGGGACAGGGTCTGGGCCTGGAGGGAGGAGGCGGTCCGCTGAGGCGGGGGAGGAGGAGCGGCGGCCGGAGGGGACGGGGACGGGAGCTCGTAGCCCCGTGGAAGCGGGGGTCTGCACAGACCCGGCTCCTCCGGCTCCAGCAACCTGCGCTCGGCCTCCGCGTGCTGTCTGCGCCTCTCGGCTTCCAGGCGGCTGTAATACCCTTCTTCCTGTCGCCTCTGCAGGCGGAACAGACAAAAGCGCAAAGGTCAGAGTCAGGAGGGGCCTTCAGGGTGCATGAAAGGGCGCATTTACCCTCTGTCCCCCATCTCCACACTGATCATGAGTCCAGGGGACAGCAAAGTTTCAACGGAACAGTCTACGACAGGAATGGGCAGATCCACCTGGAGACAGTCTGGAGACTCCTGGGCACGTTCATCCTATCGTGGGGTTATCTGGCATGGAACTGCTCCAAAGCACGGAACAAATGCACTCTAGCTACTCGCAGGCTCCAGCTTCCCGTTATGACACCATTGTCCCCATTCAATTATCCCTCCAGACCCTTATTTCCCTGCTGCTTCTCTCTCTCTCTCCTTCTGTTCTTGTAGGGTATTAACTTACCTGTGCCTGCTTGGTTTAAAGACAAAACAAAACCCAAATAGGCTCTAACTGGCTTTCTACAGCTGGTACTTGCAAGAACAGCAACCTGGCATGCATGCTTTTTCATTGCGCCCCGGGAGTCCAGAGAGCAGCCCTTCCCCTTCCTCGACCAGAAGGACGATTAAGTCACCTGGTTTATTTCCAGTTATTCAGAGGAAAGTTAACAGAAACCATCAACTGTAAAAAAAAATTACTCATTTTCCCAAGGCAACAATCTAACAAATATTCTTTCCACAGTTCTTAATTTATAGTTCAAATCTTAACAGACTCCCTGACAGACAGAAAATTAGAGAGCCAGGCGTTAATAACAACAGCAACACGATATTCAAATATATTTTGACACATACTGTACATTTTCTTCTGACATAGATCTGCACAGACTACAGTTGACAGAGTTGAAATTATTTTCACATTAAAAAAGGTAACAGCATGGTTCTGTTAAAGATTGACAAAAGTTCTAGAACACATGGGGAAAGTGAGTGTAAGAAAGGGGTTACAAGAGCAGACAGAAGGACGTGCCTCAACCTGGGTGTGCGTAGTGCTGCAGAACGGAGTGAATTCTCAATCCATTCAACCAAACGAAAACTCATTTTGGGGCCCTTGCTGGCATGAAGATACAAGTTTCAAGTCCCCCTTTTACGGCGTACGCTTGTGTTTCCTCCCTGCTCCCTCTGGAGCATGCATGCACCGCAACACAGTGCTCAGCGCTTCCCCTTCTGAGGGAGGAAACTGCAAGGACCACTGCCAGCCCCAGGCATGGCCCTACACCAACTCCTCACTTGATCTTCTCACTCTGTGTTGAGACATCCTGAAGGAAAGACATTTTGCACCTTATTTTCTACACAAAGTAAGTGTTTGCTTGGGGTTGGGGAATCCAATTCAGAATGACCCCTGTGGCCTTTACATCAAGTTGTCAGGAATCTTAGTGTGACATGGAGAACATTTTAGGAGGAAGCCAAAATACCCTTTAGTTAAGTTACATGGAGAGCAGATACAAGTACATGACCCCACAATTATTCTACCACAAATGAATGGCACATTTTCTATAACAAAGCAAGCCCAACAATTGTGGACATTCTGTATAAAAAATAGGTTATTCGGCTTCTTTTTACAGTGAGCACTCAATTCTAGAAAGCAGTTCCTAAGACACAAGCGTATTTGACATAATCGTGAGTTGTGAGCACACGCTGGAAAACGCGAGTAGCCCCCAAGCGTTCCCACAGAAGGCGCGCTGCTCCCGCGGCAGGGCCGTTCCTGCTCCCGCGCAGGGCGGCAGGTCTGTGCGGGCTGCCCGGGCAGGTGGAGGCTGCACACAGCCAAGGAACAGCAAGACAACACACACCCCAACAGAGGACCCGTGTGGCTCACGTTTCGGAAAACTGATTTTGATTCTGACTTATCATGACACAAGGTAAAGAGTCAAGGGAGACCTAACCCTGAAAGCTCAGACTCCTTCAGAAAACTGCAAATCTACTGGGACACAGCTTTTGAAGATAATATGATGACAGACTTTAAGGAATGGTGAAGGTCTAGAAGACGCAGAAGTCGCTACTTTCCATACAGGTTCGTGTGCTAGCATTATTTACTCTATTTTCATTGAAATGAGTCACATTGTTTCTGTCAATCTTGCTTTTCATTTGTTATATATCCACATAGATTCTACTGCTACAAAAAGCTTCCTTAAAGTTCTGTTTTTGGGGGAGGAGGAGGGTGCTCTATGAATACAGTTCACTGGACTATCAAAGAAGGAGTGATGAATAAGAACTGAACTTCTCCCCATCAGCAGCTGTGGTGCTCCCGGCCTCCGCCTTCACAGAAGGGAAGCAGCAGAGGAGATGCGCTTCTCCCAGGCTGCATCCAGCACAGGCAAGCCCTGCGGGAGGGCCCGGGCCGGCACACACAGCAGGAGGCCACAGGGCACAGGCAGAATAGGTCAGATCAGCTGTCATTTTAAAATTCAACTTAAAAGATTACTTTCATAAAAAAAAAAAAAAAAATCCACATACGGAAACCAAGTAGTAACTCAGGATACTTATCAGATTAGATCCTAGTTGAATTCTCCTTGAATCGTGTTTTTCCTAAGCCATCTGCTCCCTCTCCCATCAACCAGCAGTGAGTGATGTCAGTGAACCATCTCACGTGCGGAGTGTGAACAGACTGTGTTACTATGCCCCTGGCGCCTCCCACAGCTCACACTCCCTCTGCCCGCCTAGCGCACAAGCATCCCCTCACAGTAACCAGCTGGATCACGTCCAGGAAAGGAAGAGCCCGGAGTACTCGGGCGGGCTGCGAAGAGGCTCACTCACCATAACCAGGCCTACGAGTTCAGAAGCGGGAGAGAGACAGGACTCAGAGGATAAGAGAGTCTGGACACAGTTCGGAAGAGAGGTAGGTGGGCCAGGTCGGGCTCAAGTGTTGGGTCCAGTAACACAGGTGGGGATCCAGGCCCTGTTCTGTCTTGTACATCTTAGGATACAGGTCAGGTCTAGCCCCTCTCCCCAGCCCATCGATGGGTTCAGGCTAATCTGGTAAAGCGCTAGCTGCCCCTAGAGGACCATAACCTTTTCTTCAGCATCTCGCTTTGCTCTCTCCTCGTCCTGGCGGCGCCGCTCCTCTTCCTGCCTGGCGCGATCTTCTGCTTCCCGCCTGCGCATCTCCTCCAGCTGCTGCTGACGCCTCCGCTCCTCATCCTGTAACTAACAACACAGTGCCTTGAAGCTCCGCTCTGCTCACCCACCTGCACGAGGCGTACCAGGCACATGCGGACACAGGCACACACACACACACAGTCAAATACAAGATACCAGGTTAGAAGCACTGTTGAAAGACAGTAAAACACACACACCTTAGAGCTCTATAATTAAAAAATATGTTACCTAAAAGCATGGTCCCCACAGGTCCGTTAATTTCCCCATTAACTGTGGCTCAAAGGAGGACTCTGTCTCATGCATTCACACATTAAACAAGCATCATTCTTGTATTAGAATAAATAGAAGTTTAACCAGCTCCTTTAAATCCGCAGACTCCAGCAAAAGACAAAACCCTCAACTGATGGAACTCTGGAACCCACTCAACCCCCTGTGCTTCCTGGCCGCGCTCCTGTGGGCTGTGGCACGCAGACGCTGGCCTCCCGGGGGCGGGGTGCAGGCCCCAGCTCACGACTGCGGGGCCTGGTTCTGCGGAGAGCCCCCGTGCACAGCAGCCCACCTCTGCCTGGGCACCAAACTCCCAGCATGCCGGCCCGTGGCCATCCACTCTTTTTGGACCCCATCCTGGACTTCGAGAATTCCTTCTCAGTCCAGGGATACCCCCAAACTGAGTCAGAGAATCTGAACCTAAAATTTGGAAGGAACCTTACTCTACCTCCCTTCTGCTACATCTCTGCCAAGTAATTATCCACTCTGTCTGAATAACTCTGGTGTCTGGGAACCTACTGCCTACCTCCCCGAGATGGCGTTCTATTTTCAGGTAACTACCAGTCAAAAAGTTCTTCTGTGGGTCTAAAATTCATCACCTGATGGTTTGCTTTCTATTTTTCGTCATTCAGGTTTTGCCTTTTTGAAACAACACAAAACAAATTTGGTATCTTTACTTCACACCATCCAAATGCTTCAGGATATCTTCAAAAATCTACGATGTAGCCTGTTTTGGTTTCCGGCTCCTTTATCCTTCTGGTCATATTTCTCTAAGTACTATGGCTTCAGGGTACCTTTGACCAGAACAGAACAGAGGAGAATGCACTTCTGTTGTTACAGGCCAGGATAAAGGTAACTTTGGAAGCTTGCTTCCCCATTTCTGTCGTCTGTGACAGAGCTGGCCCGTAGCAGCGCCCACAGCCCTCGACATCAAGAGCAGTGGATTCAAAATTTAAAAAAATGAAAATGTAACTCAACGCCACCTCGTTTAACTGCTAAAACCACTGCAGGAATCCCTTACATAAAATCGTTCATGGTGTGTTTCAGTATTTACAGAATTACTATTATATAAATTGTTCATAGCAAAAAATAGAAACTGGACTTAAATTGCATTTATGTTTATTTTTTTAAACAAAAACCTAACAACTTCACTCTTGCCTGATTTCTCTGGAATAAAACACTGCATCTGGTGGAAAGTAACAAATTAACTTGTGTCACTAGACTTTTTCATATCAGCAAACAATATTAAGACACCTTAGAAAAAAAATGAAAACTGCCTCGTCAAGAAGACAAATTTACTTAACTTCCTCTTTGAGTACAATCTAGAAATTGGCCAGGAGGGAGGGCAGGGTGGCTTCTGGAGCAGGGGCAGGTGCTGCTACCTGAGAACCCCAGCACCAAGAAGAACTGTCCAGCGACCTGCCCTGAGGAGAGTCTCCCATGGAGGGCTCATAGCCAGCAGCGTGAAGACTGATCAAGCATCTTATAGTCATCAGTCCAAATTATGAGAAACAGACAAAATAAAACAGCCACTGAGATAAATATTCTACAGAAGAGTAACTTATGGAAGAATGTAAAACTGCATTAGTGAAAGAAGTTTTTGTTACCCAATAAAGCACAAACTAATTCATCATGTTATACTTTCTAGACCTAATTGAAAACAAGTCTGAGCAAGAAAACCAGTATCCACTGAAACAGCCCACTCGTTCTTTTAAATTAAAGAGGAGTATGATTTTAAGAAATGAGAACAGTTACAATTCTCATAATTACAGGTACAGAATGCTACACTTTATGAATTGGTAAACAGACTCTTTCTCTTAAAAGTCTTCATTCTTCTAAATCTGGATGGGGTAAGCAAGGAGACGTCTCTTGGGTTGGGTTCGTTAGCGCCTGTTTTTAAAGTCGACCAATAGGGTGCCTGGGTGGCTCAGATGGTTAAGCGTCTGCCTTCGGCTCAGGTCGTGATCCCAGAGTCCTGGGATCGAGTCCCGCATCGGGCTCCCTGCTCCTTGGGAGCCTGCTTCTCCCTCTGCCTCTCTCTCTCTCTCTCTCTCTCTCTCTCTCTCTCCCCCTCTCCCTCCCCCCCCGTCTCTCATGAATAAATAAATAAAATTTAAAAAAAAAAAAAAAAATAAAAATAAAGTCGACCAATAAGCTGGTGCAGTCAGGACCCGGGCAGCCTCTCTCCACTGTGGGGGTAAGCTGCTTCATGTCCTCTCATCTTCAAAACACAGACTGTTTTGTTCATACGTACGCCGCTTTACTCCACCCTCCTCCCCCAAAACCATTAAGGACAGAAAAGAGAATCCAATTGCTTAATTTACTCCAAATAATAGCTCAGAATGGTACACTGAGCTGACGGTCATTACCGGTTAAAGGGCAGCTCAACTTGTTACAAATTTCATGGCTGAGATCCGATGACAAACTATGTTAACACTGGAGTTAAATGAATAGGAGATGAGCTCACTGTTTTACAGGAAAGGAATGCCAAGTGACATGTATCAAAGCCGTCTGGTAGGAAGTTATATTCAGGGGAAGAGATCTGAGTAGACAGAAGGAGAATTCTCACAGAATGAACACAAGGCAGCCCAGACTAAAGCTATTCTAAACCAACAACTTAAGCTGGGATTTCAAAAGCCAGTCCTCTAAGCCTGAACCGGTTTTGCTACATTGGTGGTCCCCATTTCTAAAAAAGGCATTTTCAGGTAAAAAAAAAAAACCATGTTGAAATCTATGTGTTTATGACTTTGTACCACAGGACCCTAAACTGTATCTTGAATTCATAGTAAAAGCCCCATTAAGGGAGACAATCACACTGAGATAATCGGAATACAAAAGAGGGCCAAGGTGTCCCTTACTTTTTGACATTTTCACTGAAAATACCACTAAAAATCTGTTGAGCAGGTTGTCCTTAAGAACTTGGGCAAGACTTTTCTGCCTATGTCCCCACCCATTAAAAACACCCTAAAATTTTTCATACCCACCCATGAGGAACCACTATGATCAGGCCCCTTACTACCACTGGGCGTTGGCCCCTGACTCGGGTCCAGAGCAAGTCCTCAGCCCCATGCCGGGGGCGTTGAGGACAGGGCTCCATCCTTAGGAGAGCCATCTGCACAATGTTGGGCACTCCATCAGTGCAGTGCGCGAGCTCCCTTCCCTGGGTGCGGCCCGTGCCTCTGCCTTTGCAGTGTAAGGAGAAGGACAAGTCCGCCAGGAATTGTAAGAACTACAGCTTAGCTGCTCCAACAGCGGCAGAGACAGGAAGTCACCCCCAAGGAGGCCGTGCGGCTCAAAGAGCCCACGATGTGCACCCACAGTTCTCTTTGCACAACTGTCATATCTGACACAAGCATGTGAATTTTATGTTCTACTTGGAAACATGGGCAAGTTGGTTTGACTATGAACACACTCTCCTCCTCATTCCTGGGCGGACGGCCCATCCTTCGGCTCCCACTGCCCACTCCTGCAGCCACGCACTCCCGTGTGAAGAGGCAGTGAGCAGCCCGCCTCTCTGAAAGGGCACCTTGCAACCGGGTTTCCGAATGACTCTTGCTTTCAGTCCAGCCCGTTCTATGCCCAGGTCGCTCGGGTCTGCCCAATTCCTACCGTCCCACATGAAGACCAGGCAGGAGGGCAGGGGACAAGGGCAGATCTAGCCTGGAGGAAAACAGGAGAGCCACCGAAATCCTTGAAAACATCCCTTTGCCGGCACTACCCCAAGGTAGAGGAATTTTCCCCTTGAGCTGTCAGGTCATCTGAGTCAGCGGATGAGCCATTACAACGGTACCAAGACAAAGCTGAGACCAGCCAACTGAGAGACTGTCACTAGTTGAAAGATGGTTCCTAGCAAGAGTTTCGTGAGCAGGAGACATTTTTGTGCAGCAGACTTTAAAATACTCATAAAGGGAGAAAACTCTGGTTAGAATCCTGACTATATGACGCCAGGTGGGTCTCTTCCACACTGGCCTTGCCCCTCTGTCCCACCACATCACAGGGCTGTCACGAGGAAACAAGAGGGTAACGTATGTAATTATCTGGCGACCTGGGGCAACAGGGGTATGACAGGCTGCACGGCCCGTCACTGGGTAGAAGGACCAGTGGCCCTCAGCCCTCAGCCGGGGCGCTGCAGCAGCGGCTGACAGCACCCACCCTGCAGCGCGGGTGCGACAGAGAGGGTAGGCCGAGGCGGGGGAAGGCACGGATGGAATGACAGCACTCTGTGGCCACGGGAAGACTGAGGACGCTTGTCTAAGGGACGCTTATCTAAGGTACCTGCTGGGTCCTGAGGACTCCTGAGATCACACGTTTTTAACTGGGGTCCCTGCAGCTGATGTGCTGAGGACGGCCTGTATGGGACAAAGGTGGAAAAGGGACTCGAGGGAATGGCAGTGGCTCAGGCCAGTGTGGTGTCCTGGGCTCAGATTCTGGGAAAGTAAGGACAGCAGAATTTCTCAACGGAGAGGAACGGAGGCTATGGTTCCTAAGGTTCGTAGATGGGGGCAATTAGGAGAGTCTACTGAAATGGGGAAGGCCAAAGGCAGAAGAGATGAGCAGCAAGGTGCGCAGGGGCGGGGAGAGAAGGCGTTTTGGGTGGAACACGCTGGGGTTTGCAAAGTCTTGTCTGACTCCCCGTGGAGGTGTTACGTGGTCAAATGTGTACAGGTCTGTGGTCCGAGAGGGTTGGGGCTAGAAATGTAAATGGGCGTCCCGGATCGGGAGGCGGCCCACTGAAAGAGCAGAGGGCGAGCAGAGCCACGCCTGCTGAGACGGGGCTGCCCCGGAGCAGAAGACCTGCTCTGCTGAGCCCAGTCATCCCCACAAACATCCCGTGACATTCCGTATGAAAAGCACACTGTAAAAAATGCACAGCGTACGCTTCCTACACGTCCGGTCACACCCGCCACCACCCTTCATCTCAGGGAAAGGACTGACACCTAGCAGAGGAGGTCCCTCCACACAACCTGCCCATTCTGACAAAAGGATTCTCTAGATACTGACACTGCTGGTAATAACATTAATATTCGCTGGGGAATCAGGCTAAGAAATGCTCAGAAATGTGGTGGTTAAAGTCAATATTAATACTCAAAATAATTACCTTTTAAAGAAATAAAAACTCTGAACTGTGTCTTTAAAATACAAATCTTCATGTAATCCTTTCTCCTTAGGTATCATTCCTCTGTCACGTCATCTGCATAGAAGGTTCTGGCCGGGCCCACAGAGCTGGGGAACCCCTTACAGCCAGCCAGTGTGTTGGGTCAGCACCCGGGGGGTAACGGACACCCCATGAGCGTGTGCTGAATGAGCACCTGACACAAAGAAACCCCCTGCCATAGGTACACCTCACCACACAGAAGCATGGACAGAACATATATATTTTATCTTTGTCTCCTATTAAAAAAAAAAAAAAAAGGGAAAGCTAAAATAATCTGTCCTTCGGCCATCAAGGAGTGGAGCTGTGTGCACAAGAGGCTTCTCTTTGGAGTGACAGTACCACCACACTGTTTAAAGGAGGAAGAAAAAGGGCTGTTGTTTGGTGAAAAGGCCAGCAAAGTCAGACCCGGACTCAGGGACTGCTCACAGTCCTGGTGTCTGATGCTGCCCATATTCATTTAGAAGCCGACTAACAAAAAATGACCTTGTTAATATAATAGATATGTCAGCCAGTCCATAATTCTCTGGCCAATGACACAGGTAACAGTACCTGAGCATTGTAGATACTGAATGACCAACCGAATTTCCCAATACTGACATCAAACCCACTGAATTTATAACAGAAAAGGACTCTGGCATTTTTTGGCAGACAGTAAACTGGTACGGCTGATAAATTAAACTGAAGTCCATGTGAAATTATTAAAGAAAACAAAGAATAAATGTTTACCGAAAAGCTCTCTTAATCTACCAATAGACAGTACTATCCTAGACAGTTACATCTTAATTGGCAAAACAATGTGAATACCAATTCAATTGAGTTTCTAATGGTTGATTATTCAAAATCTATTACCAAGGTAATAATAATTAACTAGATTAGTCATTGCAAGAGTTCTTTCATTTGCTCATGTATTAATGACTATGTAAGAATACACAGAATCAACTTTATGACTGAGAAAAGGTCAAAAACCATAAACAAACAGTAACACTTAAAATTAAGGGGGAAAAGCAAAGAGTAACTAAATCTAAACACACTGAAAGGCATGCTTCTTGAGAGGCACGGAACTACACATCCTGCGCTAGGACACCCCTAGGACCTGGTCTACTAGAAACACAAAACCACCACCACTGAAAGAAAAAAAGAAAATCAAGACAAGAAAAAAGTACCAAAGGGAAAGAAATGAGAACATACCAAATCTAGAACAGAGATTGCTGGCAGAGCAGTCTGCTGCAGGTAACAGAGAGGAAAAAAAAGAAAGATGAAGTGTGAAAAAAAGTCAAGTTTAGATCTGTATTCCACCACCACCGGCGTGTCGGCTGCTCCCGCGTTTCATCTGCGTCTGAAGGACAACCCAATGAGAACAGTAAACGCTACAGACCGGCTTTCTGAACTCAGAAACAGGAAAAGGTCCACAAACGTATTAAACACTTGAGTTTCGTTATTAAGATATATGGAAGAAACTTTAAAACGCACTGAGCTCTCTTACTTGGGAGACTAAAATATTAATCTTAAATATGATTAGTGATAAATACACAGATACCTCTAACTAAATTATTGTACAAAACTTTCCAAATGTCATAATTCATACTAAAAGGCTCTGAAAGAGTCACTGTTTGAACGATTTGGAAAACCTGACAGACCTTTAATAAAAATTCACTGTAAAGAATAAATGCAGCAATGTCACAATGCAGGTGTTAACGTTTCACTATGGGATACAGTTACCACAATAAAGGTTAATGATGTCTACGTATTTACCAGAGACATCGGCTTCACACTCAGCGTGGACTGCAGCAAATGGCACGCTCTCCTGTTTTGGGGGGTGAGAGATCTGAGGCCAGGAGCACACTCAGCTCCTGGGATGACCCCCTGCCACGAGAGGCACCGGCCAAAGCAGAGGACCCTGCACCAAGCACTCAGCCACTGTGTACACGGGGGAGGCCGGGGTTCTGACCCCAGATTGGAAACTGCGCCAAGAATCCTAACACTGTAAGTGATCCATTACTGATCCACCAGTTGGTCTTTCAAATAAAACAATACTGATGGTAAGCACAGCTGTTTTTAAGGACGTTTATTCCTGGTGACTCGGATAATACTAATAAAATCATGTCACAGTTAAGATTTGGGCCTTTGTCTAAGATGCCTCAGTGTTCCAGTGGAATTTGTGGCCAAGTTCCATATACCTTTTGCTGAGAAGATGTGCATAGTAAGAAGTGTGTGACATGTTTCAAGAAAATAATTCACAGGGCAAACTCGAAAAGGGATCAGACTGCTGGTTTTATGTACTAATAATTATCTAAGATTAAGCTGCATCACGATGTGGAAAGACTGAAATGTCTGACCTAACAGTTATTTGTTTAGATCTCTAGTACAGACAGCATCAAATCAAAGTTGCAATTAGAAACAAAATCCAAAAGTCATGCTCCAGGCTGTCCTTCCCCAGAACGCTGCACTGTATAGAACTCACTAACATGTTACGGTCAAATGCCTCTCTGTCAACAGTTCTCTTGAGAGGGTAACAAAGAATTTTAAATTTGGCACTTTAATGATCTATTGCGTTCAACTAACATACAAAAGAGTAAGTTAATTTTATCAAATGGAGAAATAAGAATAAAATCCTAAATTCTCAGTATCTTTATACTACCACTGAAATACAGTTGTTTAATTTAATAAGTATCTGCCTCATCAACCCAATGAGCACTCTACAGAGTGCTCTTTCTGGTAATGACATTAAACCCATAACTCTGAAGTTCTCAACAGTCTTCTTTGTTACCCACCATCCCTCGCTGATAATCGAGACCAGGGGTCAGCAGACGTCCTGCCACCTGTGAAAGACGTTCCCGGGGTGCAACCCCGCTGCTCGGGCCCCGTCTCAGGCGGCTCGTGTCGTCTGACCACGGGGCTGCGCCGTTAAGACAGCCTCTACGGCCCGCACGGCCTCTGAGACTCACACTCTGGCCGTTTAAGAAAAAGTTCTGCCAACCCCTGATGAGGATTATCACTGGTGACTGACACATGAGTGGTTATTCACTGGTTTTCTGCACTGAGGTGTTAACGAGCAGGACAGCTAGGAGTTGGCGAATTCCAACAGCAGGGTCCCGTGGGGACGGTATTTACTTGTCACGGCCTAAGCCTCTCAGCCCGGCTCGCCCTGCAGCACGCCAGCTAGCAGCGGTAGGGACAGCAGCACGGACAGGCCGGGGCCCCCGCCGACCCTGCAGGAGCCTGGGCGTGGCCACCCCAGAGCGGCGCATGCGCACGCCCGCGGCACGCCCCCCCTTTACCCTTGCTCTGCGCTCGGCCTCAAGGCGCTGCATGATCAGCACGGCGTCCACATCGTCGTCCTCCTCCTCCTCCTCCTCGTCCTTCTGTTTGGACTCCTGGAGCCTTTTCTGGAACTGCCACTCCAGCATGAGTTTCCGCAGACGGTCGCTCTCCTCCGCACTGCGCTCAGGCTTGCTCTGGAGCTCCTGGATCTCCCTGCTCAACATATCCACGATGTGCATCTGCTGCTGCTTCTCCAGCTTCTCCCGGGCATCCCGCTTCCACGGGTCCGGGGACAGACTGTCCCCGGACGACAGCTCCTCTTGGCTGACCGTAATGTACTGCAAGTCCCTGCGCTCGATCGTGCGGGGCTGCTGCTGGGGCTGCAGCTCCCGAATGACCGTCTCCTGGGGCCTCTGGAGCGTAGAAGGCTTTTCCGGCTTCACGTGTGGGACGGTCACAGGAGAAAACGGGGCCGGGTTCAGGGACTGGGAGCGCATCTGGCCCAGCTTCCGCTCCTGCTCCCTGCGCTTCCTGTCCCGCTCCTCTTCTAGACGGGCCTTCTCCTTCTCGTACCACCGCTGGTGCTCCTCCCGCTTCCTCCGCTCTGCAGCCGCCGCCTGAGCAGACGCAGGTCCCGTCTGGCCGGCAGGAGGCGGAGGGAGAGGCAAGTCCATGGGGATTCCATCGAAGTCTCCAGCGTAGTGCGTGGGGGGAGGTGGGGGTGGCGGGGGCAGGTCTGTCTGTACAGGCTGGGAGACAGCCATCGGCACAGGCTGCACGGCGGCGGGTGTCTTCCAGCGCCCAGGGCCGCTTTTGGTCAGAGTGGACGCGGGGGTGCCTGACTTGGAGGAGTGGTCCAGGTGCTCTTGGCTGGAGGTGCTGGAGCCCACAGAGGAGCTCTGATGGATCCACATATCACTATCAGACTTGCGATCCAAGACTGCCTCAATCCGATGCCGCTCTAGCTGGTAAGCTTTATCATCCTCCCGAAGTTCCTCTTGGGAACGGGTAACACGCTGGAAAAAGGAAAAAGGAAAACTGTTCTATTTCAGCCGCTTAGAAAAAAATTACTAAAAACACGTAAATGTTTTATCTTCAGGGAGAAAACATTGTGGGGAAACTGTTAAGGGAGTGCCGAACAGAGGTTGAGACTGTCCAGCTCCGTGGCTCTGTGGGACGCATGATGGGGGGGGGGGGCACCATGTCCGGGGGTGGGGGTGGGGTCAGTGCTTTTCCAGGGAATTTATCTGTTACAAACAGGAAGGAGCTGTACTTCCCATCTGCATCACTGGCAAACATAACAAGGCACACACATGCAGGTACTTCACGGACAAGTGTGGCCCTCCCCAATCATCGGTGGGCCCTCGCACGCCTCTGCAAAGCGGTGCCTCTAGCAACTGACTTTGAAAGGATGGATGTGTTTAGTGTAATTACATAAAGAGCAACAAGATTTACTTCCCCGTAGTAAAATTCTGAGTAAGAGTCATGATCCAATCTTAACCATGTCAGCCATGGTTCCACCAGCTGATGACTGACTTTGGGAACACTCCAACAGAGCTGGGCACACGCCAGGACAAACCAGGCATCCAGGTGTTTCTGTCCCCGTCTCAGAAAGGTACAAAACAGCGTGTATGTGTGGAAGAGACCAAAATGAACACTCTTCCAAAGGGCTAGTCTCTGCACAATGGCATGTCTAAAAATTGTTTAAATTGATAGAAATGGATTCACTATGATGTCATTTTTTTCCTATCCTTTTAATATGCGGAATAGAAAATGAAGATGCAAATCTGGAAAATAAGCTGTTTCCTTTCCTTAAAAAATAAGCCAACAACAAAAAAATGAAATATCACTTGAAAAAAACAGTAGCCTGATAGAAGAATGGAGTATTTACTGCCCACATTTTGCTACAGCTATACTGTGCCCACAGAAACAGTTTCTTGCTCACTGGCCTGAGTTCAGACCCTCGAACAAGGCAGGGTTTAGGGGCACCGAACCCTGGGTGGTCAAAATTCCACATAAAACTTCAGACTCCCTGAAACTTAACTACTAACAGCCTACTGCTGACTGGAAGCCTTACGGAAACATCAACAGTTGATCACCAAGTATTTGGTATGTCTTATTATACGCTGTATTCTTACAACATACGCTCAACTACAGGAAAGACGTCATTAAGAAAACCATCAGGATGAGAACATACATTTACAGCACTGTACTGAAAAATATGGGCATAAAAGTGGACATTAGCAGTTCAACCGATGTTGCTCAAGTCAACGGTATCATTCAATTTCCTACTATTTGTAGGAACAGATACTTTCATTAAAGTACAAGACGTCAGAGGTCCCGCCTCAGACTGTCCACCAGCTTCTCCTTCTGCTGCCACACTGAGCCTCCTGGATCACTGCTCTGCTCTGACTTCACGAGCCCCCTGGTGCCCTTGTTGCATTTCTCCATATGTCTCCCCTGCTAAGTCCTACCCTGAGGCTCAATCATGTCAAGACCCACATAAATAACCCATCGACATGCTGACCTCTCAGCGTCCTGACTTCCTCTTCTAGCTCATTTATCTCCGAGGTGAGGCAGAAGCAAACAGCAGACATACACTATGAACCTAGAGGCTTAAAAATGGTATTCCTGTCAAATAGGAGAAAACGTGTAGATGCTCTTGACACAGGGGAAGGAGATTTTCCTAAGGGCTAACAAAATACGCTAGAGAAAGCAGGGCACACAAGTACTTCACTGTGAAAGAGAAATCTGGAGGAAGACCTTCACCAACTCCAGCCAGGCATCGAATGGTCCCAGACAGATGGGGGGGGGGTGATCAGGCCTCCCTAGTAAGCAGGCGGGAGGGCCCTGTGGACAAGATGACAACATCTGTGACCTCAGGATAACTTCTTGCCCTCAGAGAATGTGGCTCTTCCTCACGGCTACTCGTGCCGTCCCCTGTGCCTGTGAGCCCTCCTCTGTTCTCCCGGCCTTCAGGCTCAGCTCGGCTGCGCCTCCATCCCTGGGTCTCCTCCGACCACCTCAACTAAAGCACCACATCCAGAATGCACTATCCAGGATCCATATTTGTTACATATCCTAGACTGTGCCTATCTCTACACATAACGTTTGATTTCTTCTCCCGGTCTTCCACAATGCAACGTTATCTTTCCAAACAGAAAAACACATCTGATAATGTTCCCCAGCTCAACGACTCAAGACTGATGCTCCCCTCTCTAACTTGGATAAAACCCCAATTCTGCAGCTTATCACTTCAAGCCCTTGCTGTATGGTTCCAGGCCGCAAAGGCCTGCCACCGCCCCCTGCCCCGAACCTGGTTCCTGCTCAGCGGCACATCTCCGTGCCTCTCACTTGGTCTGAAAAGCTCTTCTGTTCAGACAGCTGTAATGTGATGCAGGGCCCAGGTGCTGGTCACACCGAGACTGAAAGGTAGCTCTGCCACTCAGTGGGGAGCCAGACCTCCAGCAGGACTTACTACACCGTACTGACTTCATCTTAACCACAGCATTAGTTTCACTGGCGGGGACCACGGTTATGTCTGCATCCCAGTGCTTGGACAACTTCTGGTACAAAGAAAAATATACATCACTCATTTCTCACTCCTTGAATCAGGAATCCTGCCTCACAAACTGTAATGAAGGTGTACTATTACTAACCCTTCACTAATCAAACATCAAGGGAATAAAGCATTCCTTTTCATATTTAGTATTCCTTCCTATCCACTCTTCCTCAGTTAACCAGGAAAGAAAAAAAAAGGTATCAGTCTCAGTACTGTCCTACAGAGAATATTGACTGTATCTCTGAAATCATCCAGATTTTACCATCAAACTGGTTTATCTTTGACGGCTGCGAATGTTCACGGACTCCTTCTCTCTAACCTGAATTGCAATACTGGAATGATTACTGTCTGCGTGCATGTGTGGCTTCTCCTCGTAATTTGGCCACTGGTTCTGAGGAGGAGCCATCCGGTCCTGGGATTTGGAAGCTGGGAAGGTGAAATACTCTCTGGTGTACGTCTGAGTGGGGATGGGGTAGGCCTCAGGTCTCGGTGGCGGGGTCTGTTCCTGTAAAATGGGAAGAAGAAAGAAAAGTGAGCTTTTGGCAATTTGTACATAAATTAACTTAATTTCCAATGATCTGTTTTAAAATATAGTAGATACATTTAAAACTGTGTTAAAAATTAAAAGTGTTTGATCCTATACGGAGAATAATGAAAAACCTTTTATTTTGCCCTGACTTCTTAACTTAAAGCTAATTTCCTTATTATGTTAAGAACGAAGAAGCCCCCAGGACTTCTCAACACTGCTGATGTGCAGAGGAAATGCGTGAGGAGACAGTTCAGGGGCTCTGTGGGAGGCCTGGGTGCTGGCTGGAGTGAGGACGTTGGCATCGCTCTCACACCTCGGTGCAGAGGTTCCCGGTGGAGACAGATGTGATCTTCGCTGTCGTTCCAGGGGCATACGCGCTCTTCCCTCCGGGGCTAGGGGGTTGATCTGTCGGAAAGAGACAGTGAAAAGCAAGTTTTTTTTTTTTTCCCAAGTATCACAATGTTTATTCCGTGTCACGTGACAAGAGCTCTTTAAGGGCAGTGACCATGTGTCACGCATCTTCAAACTGCCAGTGAGGAGTCAGCACAGAGAACGCTGGGGGCCACGGGAGAGAGCAGGGCTCATCACACCCTCTCCTCTCTCCTGAATAATCAGAGCCCAGAGCTACCAAGCTTCATCTACAGACCAGGGACCGGCAAACATTTCTGGCAATGGGACAGACAATAAATACTTTAGGTGCTGCAAACCTTGTATGTGTTGTATATCCTTCTATTGATTCTTCTTCTTGTTAACAACCCTTTAAAAGTATAAAAACCATCTGAGCTCCTGCTGGCAGCCTGCCACCTCCTGCTAGCGACAGGATCAATGACTCGTCTAGAGCATCAACTGAATCGATGTGTTCTAACCTAGTTTTTATTTTCTATTGGAAGAACATTACTTTTGATATCTCTCACGAAAAGCACATTTCCGTTAGCCAGGATATGCAGGTAATCCTATTGCTTTGATAACTAAGCAAGCATGGGGTGTCCCCCCAACACTGATGGTGACCGAGCATGTCCAGGCCAGGGAAGGACAGGTGAAGTGACCCCTCTTACTTGCCACGTTGGGGCTGGAGCGGTGATCAGCCCGGTTCTTCATCAGTCTGTCGTCACCTGGCAATTTCTTAGGTTCACTGTATTCTGCCCAAGGCAGCTGAGGGCTCTCAGGTGACCCGTTTGGAGCTGAATTATTGTAGAGCTCGAAACCTTCACTCTTTGGACGGGGTTTACCTGAGCCACGACGATCTGAAACTGAAATCAAAGCGCATTCAGGCTCTCCTCATTTATTCAAGATTTTAAACACCCTATTTAGTCTTTAAAGAAAGATGAATCTATAAATATTTAAAATTTCGTAAGACCTTATTTTTAGTGGAAGAAATAAGGTAATTTATCTAAGAGTAAAAATCTTTCTTGAGAATCTTAAAAGCAACATTTAACTGGCACTGATGGGAAAAGGTGCTTTTCCCACCTTATTTTCTCATAAACTCCACCTGTTAAGTCACAAGGCTACTTTTAAAGTAACTTTTTAAAAGTGAAAGATATACTTCCCTCACTTTCTAAAACACACTCGTTCTTTTAATAGCTGGCACTGCCATCAGCCGGTGGGACTGTTCACGCTCTACTTTGGCTTTCACGTCTACCTGTGTGGCAGCCCGGGTGTGTTCTCTGTTCTAACAGCTTCCCTCTGACTTCTAACTCATGGTCTGGTTCGCTTCTTGGAAATGACCCTAAGCTGTGACATTAGACCACCAATATGGTACTGTCCTGAAAAAAGTAAGAAATATGCTGAGTTGAGGTCTATACTGCAACACATGGTTGTGTTAAGATACGCTGTTTATTCCAGTAAACAGCAGGCCCAGGTTCTCAGAATCTTTGGTTGCTGTCGTTGTGCTACCCTTAGGTCGACTTCAGGTCCTAAGCTCCTAGATCACTGACTGATGAAGAAGGGAGCTCCACCAAGGCCAGACCGAGCGGCTGTGCACAAAGTTAGCAAAGTAAATGCAAAGTATATAATGATTTAAAAAGATAATGTCTGAGTCCTAATGGGTTTTCCTCTGTGATTTCTGAACTAATCCTTTTTAAAAAGCCTTAAATTTATAGCGGTTTTATTCTGAGATTTTTGACGTAGGTACAAAATCATGGTTCCCACCAACAGATTACCTTAACCGAATAACTGGGCTTTTAATTTAAAGTGAACTACATAGAACAGGACAATCATGTCCTGCACACACAGGACTGAAATAACTATTCATACACTCATATACGTCGTTTCAGTAGAGAACACTGCTTGTCCTTTGAAGACTTTATATGCCGCATCACCCGCTGACTACGACTAAGTGCCTAGTGCAGGGTGGACGGACACCCTGCAGCAGCCAGCCAATCCCATGGGGGCTCCTGGGGGCAGGACCATAGTGAATCACCGCGTGGCCAGACACTGAACGCTGCTCTTGGCTACTTATCCTGGGCATCTTGCCCAAGTGCCTGCATCCCCAGCTGGGGTGGTGAAAGCAGTAGCACCTAATCCACAGAGTTTCTGTGGCTACGAGGAGGAGGTCAGGACAGTTAAACGCCTGGCATGCGGTAAGTGATAAATACAAGCCAGCTATTACTGGCAGTGGTCAAAGGAAGAGACAGCATGCAGTTCTCCATAATGAGCTCTTACTTCTTTGCATCATTGGGGACGGCTGATTGAGCAGGGTGGCGAGGCCGTGATAAATTGCTCCTTGCTTTGCGACTTCTAGTGTTACCACAGAACTTGTTCTTGTCATGAGTTCTGCTGCCCTAGGAGAAAGCGAGTAGAACAAATGTAAAGGAAATGTCACAACAACAGCCTGTGACCAGAGCAACCGACGGCTATTTCGAGTAACAGTTCCGACCTTCAGACAGATGACCCACTGCCCATTCCCTTCCTTTAAAGATTAACTAAGAACACATCTCCTATGGTCATATTAAGAACAGTAAGATGATACTCAGACATGACATTCCCAGGACGTGCCAAGAGTATGTTTTTTTTAAGCTTCAAAGAAACTGCTCCAAACCAAAATACATATTCATAATCTGCTAACAAATGAGGTATCATGTACACTGGTGTACGTTTAAAAAGGGGAAGAGTAAGGGCGCAGCTTTTTAGCATTATTTTTTGTCTTCTAATTCCAAACGTGAAACATCCCTAAACACGTTAATATTCAGCTTTAAACAAACAAATACATAAATGATACCTTTCTTGAGAGAGTCCTACCAGACTTCGTCCATCCACACTGAGTAGCTGGTCTCCTGCAGCCAGGCGTCCATCCTGTGCACACCCAAGAGGCATGTGTTTTGGGCGGTGAGGACAGCCAAGGGCAAGAGGAGGAAGAAGAAAGTCAGCGGCAAGGAAGCTCACGCTCGTTTGTTCAGCAAACAGTCTACATGGTGTTTTATAACAACACGTATCAGAGGGTCACAGCAGGTCGTTTGCTGACTAGGACATACTGAAAACTTACATCTTTAAAAATGACACTAACCCCATCAGCAGCACCTCCTTTTACAACAGACTTGACATAGATTCCAAGTTTATCTTGGCCAGCACCCTAAACAAAAACAAGGCAACACTGCTTGAAAATACACAGTAAAAAATACAATACTCAGTAAAATAAAAAAATAAAAAAAATAAAACTAATACAGAGATAATTGCAACAAAAGTCCTGGTTCTTGCTTTTACATGAAAATTAGTACTAAGAAAATTAACACTCTATTTGGTAAATATAAAGGAACAAACAGGAAATGTACCTATTTTTATCTTTCTAAATCAAAGAGTACTCTGGAAAAATCGATTATTAATAAACCAGTTGATGAGATGGCTAAGTGAGCTAAATCTACCCTCATGACATATACTATTAATCACTTAGATACAAAAGCAATTTACTATAGTATTTTTATATTCCAATATTTGCCTATATCCCCTTATTATTTCCAAAGCTGTATTTTAAAACTTAAGAAAAAACTTCTTGTGGCATCCAGGAAGGGGGACTTAGGTAGTAAGGGAGGATTCTGTAGAAAATCCTGTGCATCGTTTCAACTGAAGGATCATGTATTATAACTCTAGATGAATAAATATGGAGCTAGGAGCCCCGATCCAAACAGAATGCACATCAGGACAAGCAGCTTCTGTGAAACAGGTTTCAGGAACATATACAACTCTTGTACAGAATCACCAACATTCTACTTGGACATTCCAACCAGAACATAAAAATCCATTATGGATAATTTTTTGGAATGACCACAGGAAGCAATTGCATGCGTGAAATCTCACTTGGATGTCTTAGCTCAGGGTAATTTCAATAGTTATGAAGTACTAGGTCATAAAATAAAAAATATAAAAGGTATCCCAGAGAGTTATACAGTGATTTCAATAAATGACTTAATTGAAACAAATATTCTACAACACTCTGGAAGTACATAATTTCCACCGTAAAACTCTTCATTCCTCCCTTTCGCTACGAGAGCTGGTTTGGAGAGTACAGTCTGACTGGGGAGCTCTCCCCTCAGGGAAAATCCAGCATGCAGCATGCCACTGTTTCATGAGCCTAAAACCGTCTATTACGTATCTCATTATGAAAACGGCATAAAATGTCTCAATTTAACAAAACAACTCAATTTTGGGAAACTGTGTGTTTCAAGTTTCATGTGGTTACGTTACCTGTGAGCTGAGTTTATAAAAGTTCTATAGAAGGTAAAAAATCAAGTCCTCTCTTCCGCAGCTCCCCACCCTCTGGTCTAGGTTTTCCCATCTGTTCACCTCCACATGTTCCTCGGTCTCTGTCTGTACCATATCCCCTCGCTGCACATCTCCTGCCCAGCCCCAGACATCCGGCTGCCTACCGGACAGATGCATGCCCCTTAGAAATCATCCAGCACTTCCAGTACAACAAGATGACCAAGTGCAAGCTGACACCTCTGCCTGGTCCTTCTGCCACACACACACACACACACACACAGCACTGAGACAGTTGGCAAAGCTTGTAGCTTTTTTAAGTTTAAAATTTCACAATAAAAAATATATATAGTAGGCACTCAATAAATGGCAACTTCCTGAATTTTAGCATGTCACTTAGCAAGAGAGAAATAGAGCAATAGATATACCTTTTACCTGATTTCGCCCAGGCCAATCCTGGGTTTCCCTGAACCTAGGGACCTAACATGCAATCGAGGGAATTACTTCTAAGCCAGCTCCACCCCCACCCCATCTGTTACAATATGAAATAGGGTATTCCTTCTCATGTCATCTACTTCAATGACTTTTCCCCAATATGTTCCATACTTTTATGTAATCTGCGATTGACTGCTTAATTCAACAACTCAGCTATTTAAATGACAATTTTACTCCTTCAACAAATATTCACTGAATGCTTCCTTATACTATCCTAAGCTCTGCACACACATCCGTGAACAAAGCAGACAAACACCCCTGCCCTCGTGAAGCTTATATTCCAGAGTAGTCTCCCTGTAGCTGTCTAATAATTTTGACTGGGGCACTGAAAATCCCCCTTCTCCTTTTCTGCAAATGCTGCAGGGTATTTCCTTACAGCTAATACCTCAGGCCAGATTGTTTCTTCAAAGGTTCTAAGAGCCTAACTACCTGTTTCCTGTGTTCTCCGTCTGACCGAGAGCAAAGCAACGCTCACAGCATTTCAGGATACAGTTTTAGTGTGAACGGGTGGGCACTTACATCTTCATGATGTAGTACAGACCATAAAAACTGTCCTTTTAAGAAGATACTCAATTACTACCATCTTTGAAAAGAAAAACGTTTACTAGTAATACTAATAGCATATTTTTAGTAACAGTGATATAAATAATAAAATACCCAATACATACATTTTTATAAAAATTTTTAAATTTTAAAAAAGATTTTAGTTATCTGACAAAGAGAGAGAGAGCACAAGCAGGGGTGGGCAGCACAAAGAGTCAGAGGCAGAGGGAGAAGCAGGCTCCCAGAGGGGGAGCCCGATGCAGGACTCAATCCCAGGACCCTGAGATCATGACCTGAGCTGAAGGCAGACGCTTCATGGATGGAGCCACCCAGGCACTCCCCAAATATATGCATTTCAAAACAATAAACCAAGACCTCCCCCATTTCTGGTACTCTTTATAAGAAAAATTATTAATAATGAAACAAATAACATTTAGACAAACTGTAAGAGGGCTCTGTCTTTCTAAAAATCACAAAATGGAATGATAAAAGAACAAGAGCAAAAAACTGTTGCTTCTCCCTCCGTCAAGGCCCTGCTCACACACCCTCTGCTGCCCGGCCAGTAGCTCCTTTGTCACAATTCTCACTCTGGGAAGAGGAGTTCCACACTCAGCATGAATGGTAGCTTCACTGCAATACCCCTTTCTGCCTTCAGCCTCTCGTTCAGACCAGGAAACACACCGCTGAGGGGAGCTACCAGGCCCCGTATTCCATTTTAGACAACCGATACGTGCTCCCATCTGGGAGACTCTGTACGAACTGCAAATATTATGTAAATTACCGGAAACCCCGGAGCATCTTTCGAGAGGCAGTTTCGGATCTATCATGCGATGTGAGGTTTATGAAGTCTACGTTCAAATATTCAAGTAAAACCGATCATGTAATATAGATACGGGACGGCATCGTGACTGTCACACCTTTAAATTCAGGCGGAAGTTCCCAGCATGAATCTCCCAACAGTCCTGAGCAAGCCCTCCCTGTCACTGCCCTGCTGGTCCCCTCCGTGCCACCTGCCACAGAAGCCCCTTCCTGAAGCACGCCCCGCGGGGCTCCTGACCCAAGACCAGCGCAGCTGCCCGCCCCTGCACAAGCACCACGCCCCGAACCTGAGGTCGGGTCCTCCCCCTCTCACCACACGCTATGCCTGATCCAGATGCTCCTTCACGTGCCCCCCATTCCAGCCTGTTTCCGTGTTCCCGCCTTTGTTTACGTGGTACTTTCCACACAAAACGTCTGATGTGATCTGTCTGCCAAAACGCTTTCGTCACTTGATTCCCAGGCTCACCGGCCACTATTCACCAAGCCACGTACCTTCCAACCTCAGGATGGATACAAGCTCTTTCTTACCTATGTGCTATGTTCCCGGAACAGCTCCTCTGTCCTGTAGTCCAGCTACTGACAGTACAGACGGCTCTCCCCCACCTGCTTTCCCTGGTTGCTGCCTACTATCCTCCTACCGTGTGGTCAACAGTGTCCTCTCAAACCCTGCCACAACAGTCCAGAATCCCACTGAATGAATACATTAGTATTAGTATTTGTGGGTTAGGAAGCAGCTGATGCAGCTATCACAGAGTGAGCTGGTAACACTGGGACGTTCCTAGTTTAACAAGGTAGGAGCCCTAAGCATTTCTGACTGTGGCACCACACATACTGTTCCAAAGAAGCTATCTTCCATTACTGTTGCTGGGTAATGGACGATGGGAATTTATCTAAGTTCTAAGCTATAATCACGTTAATTCCAAGTTCAATTTATCAGTGTATCTGCTACTCAGAAAAGGAGATCTTCATCTGAGGAATTACGAGACAATGATTATTAGAGACCTCAATTGCAAAGACCCAATAGGCTTCTAAAAGGTCCTTTTAAGGTTGGTCATAAAAACAGACTTAATAATTAAGTCACTGACAGTGCATAATGAAATACATAAAAAAAAAAATACTCTCGGAGCGTGATACACAAGTGAAGAATGTGGATCTAGAATATTCTAAAGAGGTATCCAAGCTTTGGTTAGCATCTGAATCTTACTAATGTGGTCTCAACCTTGCACTATTTACCTAGAAATTCTTTATTTAACAGACCCACTGCTTACATTTCTGTAAACATGTTGCCATTCTGCTAACCTTTAACCTTCTCCTGGAGACATGGTCCCTTTAGCAGACCTACTCCACTGGAACTCCCTTCCATCCTCCCATTCTGGCCCCTCCCACCTCTGCTTATTTGAATCCTATCTCTACTTCATGGGCAGCTCACTGTTATAAACTGCACATAAAAAACTGCAAGTATAATTGTTGTACAGAGAAATGACCAGTTCCACTGGTTATTATTTTAGAAAAACAAATTTACAGATGGACACTCAGAAATCAAAGAAGTCTAAGGAATTTATTTTTAAAGATGTTATTTGTTTGACAGAGAGCGAGCGAGCACGAGCAGGGGGAGCAGCAAAGGAAGAGGGAAAGCAGACTCTCCGCTGAGCAGGGAGCCCGACTTGGGGCTTGATCCCAGGACCCCGAGATCATGACCTGAGCCGAAGGCGGACGCTTAACCGACTGAGCCACCTAGGCACCCCAGAAGTCTAAGGAATTTCTAACTATACACACATATACATATATGTGTGTATGTACATAAAATCAACATGGATAGTTACTTTCAACCCAGAACACCACAATCTCTGGCCAACTCCAAGGGGACCCAATGTCTCCACCTGGCTGCAGCAGCCCTGGTCTGGAATGTCCACATTGACAGGCTGGACAGAGGGGCATGTAGGTGCTGCTTCCTCCCCCTGCTAATGCCACTCGGACTGGGAACAGCTCAGCTCTTGGAGCACCAAGGCAAACTTACCA